GTGTGTGTGTGTGTGTGTGTGTGTGTGTGTGTGTGTTGTGTGTGTGTTGTGTGTGTGTGTGTGTGGAAGGCTGCCTCTGCAGTCGAAGGGCAGAAGCTGCGCTGGGCGGGGGGGGTGGGGGGGAGGGCAAGGACAGGGATGCTGGCACGAGTCACCTGCTAGTGACTCTAGAGATGGCCAGCGGTGCTCGAAGTCACAACCCTAAATCTCGAAATGAGGACCTTCCCATTTCCTAAAACGATGAGCATTTCTGTCCCAGCCCCAAACCCGCACCACCCAAGGGGTGCCAAGCAACTAAACAGAGTTTTCCTTGCTTTGAAAACTTTTCACGTTGGCAGATGTCCCCAAGACACCCTCGGCTCTCAACCCTAGCTGCATAGTGGTACCACCTGGAGAGCTTTTAAAACTCTGCTGTCTCAGTCCTACTGTCAGAGGTTCCAGAATGATCATTGTGAGGTCCCCCCTGAGCACTGGGATTTTAAAAGCTCTCCAGGTGATTCTGGGGTGCAGCCGAGTTTCAGAACTCAGCTTTGGTCTAAGCTGCTTTCAGTGACCCTCCAGAGCTGTCGGGCCTGATATAGAAACCTTTTCTCTTTGGTGTGTCCCCAGGTTTATACTCCTGCTGGGGCTGAGACACTTCTTTAATCTGCTCCACGTAGAAAGTTTTCCTGGAGAGTTTCCCTCATCTTCCGTCTCTCTCAAGCTGCAGCAGGCGCTCTTAACCCCCCAGTGTGCCCTGCTCATACTCAGTCCCTCCTCTCACCCTGGGTTAGACATGCACATTGTATCAGTCTTCAGTCCTTCATGGTAGATTTCACTATCCCACTCCCCTGAGGCTTAGAGAGGTAAAGTCCTGCCCAAGGGCACCAAGTAGTGAGGACGGAGCCAGGCAGACCCAGCTTTGCCCCAGAAACTCCCCACCATCTCTGTTTGGTGAGCCACCTCCTGTTTGCTGACACTTTTCATGACTTAATCCCCCAGCTTTTCCCTTCTGAAGGTCCTAAGAGTCCACCTGTCCTCATCCTCTTGGCCATCTGAGTTGCCTTCTCCAGCCCCACCATGTGTTTCTTGAGGCATCAAGACCAGAACTACCCACGGTATTTTAGGTGTCCTGTGATGCCCCAGTATCATGCCTAGTAGGACATCTTCTTTTGGTTTCCGAGACCTCGTGGTGGCCAGCATCTTAGCCCTAACAACACCCCATCTCACCACCGAACTGAGGGACTAGTGAATCTTCCTGGGGAAAGCTTAGAGTCTGCGGCAACTCACTCTGTCCCGTCTTGAAGCTTGCCCGATAGTTTATGCTCATAAAATTTCTTCAGTTGGTCTATGCCAGATTATCATGACCATGATCCAAAAGATCCGAGGGCAGTGTCTGCAAACTCGGAGATTTAATGAGGCTATCCCTTTACCAGATCATTTAGAAACTTGTTAGATGAGGACACGTCGTGCCATGAAAACTTACTCATTCTTAGCGTCTGTTTCCTCTGCTTAAGCCACACCTCTCTCCATGACAGAAGTGTCCCAACAGCTCTCTTTAGTTATTTTTTTAAATTGAAGTATAGCTGATTTACAGTGTTGTTAGTTTCTGGGGTATAGCAAAGTGATTCATTTATATACATTCTTTTTCATATTCTTTTCCATTATGGTTTATTACAGGATATTTAATATAGTTCCCTGTACTATCCAATAGGACCTTGTTGTTTATTGATCCTATATATAATAGTTTGCAACTGCTAATCCCAAACCCCCAATCCAACCCTCCCCTGTTCTCTATGTCCGTGAGTCTCTTTCTGTTTTGTAGATAAGTTCATTTGTGTCATATTTTGGATTCCACATGTAAATGAGATCATATGGTATTTGTCCTTCTCTTTCTGACGTACTTAGTATGATCATCTCTAGGTCCATCCATGTTGCTGCAGATGGCATTATTTCATTCTTTTTATGGCTGAGTAATAGTCCATTGTTTACATATACCACATCTTCTTTGCCCATTCATCTGTCGATGGACATTTAGGTTGTTTCCATGTCTTGGGTATTGCAAACAGTGCTGCTGTGAACATAGGGGTGCATGTAGCTTTTTGAATTATAATTTTGTCTGGATATATGCCCAGGAGTGGGATTGCTGGATCACATGGCAACTCTATTTTTAGTTTTCTGAGGAACTTCCGCACTAGTTTTCCATAGTGGCTGCACCAACTTACATTCCCACCAACAGTGTAGGAGGGTTCCCTTTTCTCCACACCCTCTCTAGCATTTGTTATTTGTAGACTTTTTAATGACGGCCATTCTGACCAGTGTGAGGTGGTACCTTATTGTAGTTTTGATTTGCATTTCTCTAATGATTAGCAATGTTGAGCATCTTTTCATGTGCCTATTGGCCATCTGTATGTCTTCTTTGGAGAAATGTCTATTTAGGTCTTCTGCCCGTTTTTGGATTGGGTTGTGTTTTGTTGTTGTCGTTGAGTTGTATGAGCTCCAACAGCTCTATTTATGGGAATTAATTTTGTTAAAGACTGTGTGCCGTATCCTGGCCTTCTCTGTTGGAATCTGCTTTTTACCCCTCCAGATTATTTAGAAATGGTGTTTTTTTTCAGATTATTTAGAAATGGTTTTTCCCAATAGTTCAGGCTGGATCATGTGTCCAGCAAACCTGCCAGCTTCCCTGATGGGGGAGAAGTGAGCCAGCCTGGTCTCGACTCCAGAGAGCCTTCCGGGAAACTTGTTCACCTGAGGGGAAGGGGGGAGATTCCAAGGGCTTGCTCTGAGTGTCCTCTAAGTGTCCAGGGGTTACCGACATTGGTCACCCCTCCCCTGTCGTCTCTTGCTTTCCTTCAGCTCACTGGCCGGATGCCTTCTCTTCCCACCGATCCATTTCCACCTCAGACCTGGTTTTTCTTGTAATCTCAGGTGGATTTATTACTCATCTCAAGTTCAGTGTTTTCAGTTAAGAAGCAGTCATAAAAGATACACCCCACTTCTGCCTGCCATCCCAGGGTGAGAGGGGACAGAGCACCACTCTGGTGACCTTGGAAATTCATGGGAAGATGGGTGCCACACGTCAGTGGGAATGTCGGGCCAGGTGCAACTCAGGCTCATCTGGACTTGGGTCACCAGCTATATTTCTCATAGGAGGATGTTAAACATTAAGGGAACTGCTCTCACCAAAAACAAACAAACTTGCAAAGTATTTCACTGCTTTATATATGGGGCTCTTGTGCACATACAAGTTGATATAGAGAAAAACATTCCAGTCCTGGATGGGCATCCATGCACTTGAAGGTCCCTATTGTAAGGCTTTGTAAAAGTTAAAATTACCCAGAATACGAGAGGCTACTTCTAAATCCACCATGGAAAGCAAAGATAAAACATCACTGAACCCATGACGTATGTCAGCAGGGAAAGGTTTTGGCTCACAGAACATTCCATCAATGTCAAAGCCTCTGGAAGCGAGGCCTTTCGTAAAGAAGCACTGCCTTTCTATTGTCTTTATTATAGGAACACCCGTGGCCAAGACTTTGCCTTTATGGCACCCATGGCTAAGCTTCGCTCAGGCTCCAGTCCTGGGGATACCTGACCTTCCTCCAAGCTCTTGGGCTTTTTTTTTTCCTTGCAGAGACAATATAAATCTTGTGATTGTGCTTCCTGCTTTGCTTGGGCCACGAGGAAGCTCAGAGATCGATCTGGCTCAGAAACTGGGTAGCACCTCACACACCTATTCTGTGGGCTGCCTTTTTCTTTGGGCTTATCTTACTGGATTGCCCACATTTTCTTTTTACACAGATATCTTTATCTAGCAGTTTTAACGTGTTAATGTGATGATGTATTTTTGTGGGCTGCCTCAAATCCTTTCTGGAAGAAGTTCGGGTTGAAGGGAGGGTGGAGGACAGAGGTCTCTAGGACCTGTTCCCTCTTCTCCACTAAATAAGAGATTTCCTGGTGGTCACACACGTGGGCATCCACATCCCACCACCCAGTTTCCCAAACTCGGAACCGGTGCCTGACCAAGACTCTCGATACCTTTCCAGCTATCAGTAGCCCGAACAGCCAAGACAGTGCCATGGTGTTTTGTGGGGATGGCGGGTCTGCCCTGGGCAAAAGGGCCCTGTAGTCACTGCATCTCCAGGAGGCTGACCCTGCCCTCTGCTGCCCACAGGTGGTGTACTTCACTGCGTTGCTGCCCTACTGCGTGCTCATCGTCTACCTGGTCAGGGGCCTCACGCTCCACGGAGCCACCAACGGCCTGGCATACATGTTCACTCCCAAGGTATGGGCTGGAGGGGAGGGGTCCCGAGGGCACCCCCATTCATCCTGCCACCTTCCAGGATGGGTGGAAGGGGGAAGACCAAGGGTTGGGGGAACAGTAGTGGACCCGGGGAAGGTGGGTGTGAGCCCGCCAGGCAGTGGAGGGGCGTGGATTCCGTCCTCAGACAGGCAGTCCCTATGCCCTGCTAATTCTGGGGCATTACATCTTCCGTCCACTCTCCTCTTGCTACCCCAGTCTCACCCCAAACCCTCCCTCCAGCCTGTGGACCAAGCTGTTTACCAGGAGCGTCACGCCAGTCAGCTCCCCCTCCTGCTCGCACCTCTATGCACCCCGCTCCCGACGGGTGCATCCATACTCCGCAGGGCTCTCCGTGATCCAGTCCCAGGCACCCCGCTCCCCAGTCACCCCATAGCTGATGCTAATCAAGGGAGGCCACCATTGCCTTTGGGGCAGGACAAGTTATTCATTTAGCAAATCTGGTCCCTGGAAACAAAATGACTTTGGCAGCACCCCGCCATTAGTGCCCCCATCACATTCCAAATGCCGCCTAACATTAGTGCTGCGGTACAACCCAGACCTAGACACCAGCACCGCCATTTCTGGAGGCCCAGACCCGTGCAGTGCCTGGGTCATGGATCAGGGGCTCAATACCTTTACAACTTATTTTATCCTACACTTTTCAATTGCACACCTCCTGCGGGTGAGAGGCAGTGGAGGGTAGGACAAGAGGATGCGTTTTATCTGCTGAGGACCGGGCTGGGCACGCATGGGGCCAGGAGAGCTGGGTTCGGGCCCCAGGCCTGCATCTGGCTGGCTGTGTGCCGTGGGCAATTTCCTTCCCCTCTCTGGGCCTCCTGCCCCCTGCTGATCTGGGAGTCTGGGATTCCCACCCGGGGTTCTCCAGCCTTGTCCCTGCTGGCTTTCCAGATGGAGCAGCTGGCCAACCCGAAGGCCTGGATCAACGCAGCCACCCAGATCTTCTTCTCGCTCGGCTTGGGGTTCGGCAGCCTCATCGCCTTCGCCAGCTACAACGAGCCCTCCAACAACTGCCAAAAGCACGCCGTCATCGTGTCCATCATCAACAGTTCCACCTCCATCTTTGCCAGCGTTGTCACCTTCTCCATCTATGGCTTCAAGGCCACCTTCAACTACGAAAGCTGCTTGAACAAGTAAGCCTGGGTCATCCGGTGGGCCCCAGGCCTCAAGCGGGGGGCAGTGAGCCTCTAGAGGCCCGAGCTGAAAGGGTCTCTGGGAGGAGGCAGACACCAGAAGTCAAGGGGTGTGGGGCAAAGGGCACAGGCTTTGCTGTCCTCAATCCAGGGTTCAAATCAGAACCACCAGCAGCTGATGAGCATAAGGCAAGCCGGCGTCTGCCTGAAGGAATGAGGGCAGTTTTGTGTATTCAAAGCACTTAGCGCCAATAGGGCATTCAACAGATAAACCTTAGCTTCTCCTACCCCATCTCCCCCCCTCAGAAGTAACCAAGAGCTCTCCAGCTGAGCCATGGAGATTGCAGGATCTACTTTCTGCTGCCCCTTACCCAAAATACAAGAAACATCATCCAGAAGGTATGCTGTCCAATACGGTGGTCACTAGCCACAAGGGGCTAGTGTAAACATTTAAATGTAAATTGATTTAAAATTAACTAAAATTTGGGGGACTTCCCTGGTGGCGCAGTGGTTGAGAATCTGCCTGCCGATGCAGGGGACATGGGTTCGAGCCCTGGTCCGGGAAGATCCCAAATGCCACGGAGCAGCTAAGCCTGTGCGCCACAACTACTGAGCCTGCAATCTAGAGCCCGCGAGCCACAACTACTGAGCCCGCGCGCCTAGAGCCCATGCACTGCAACAAGAGAAGCCACTGTAATGAGAAGCCCGTGCACTGCAACGAAGAGTAGCCCCCGCTCACCGCAACTAGAGAAAGCCCGCGTGGAGCAATGAAGACCCAGTGCAGCCAAAAATAAAATAAATAAGTTTAAAAAAATTAACTAAAATTTTAAATTGATTTAAATTGGTTTCTATTTCAATGTAAATTCTTTTAAATCAGTTCCTCAGTTGCACTAGCCTCATTAGAGTACTCAGTTGCCACATGTGGCTAGTGGGTACCATATTGGACAGCACTGATGGAGAACGTTCCAATCATCACAGGAAGTTCTGTCAGACAATGTTGGTCCAGAGGTTAAAATAGCCCAGCTGCGGGGGTTTGGTTCCTTTGATCATCACTGTTCCTATCTGAGGCTTCTTCAAAGCCGTTCACAATCACTCTGCCCTTTAAAAGCTCACCAGTCAACAGATTCCCTTTGTTGGAGCGACCTCACCTAATCAGAAGAGGCAGAGGGTTTTGTAATCAGTGAAGGTTAATCAGCTGCTCTGCTCTGCAGGGTGATTCTGCTGCTGACCAATTCTTTTGACCTTGAAGATGGCTTTTTGACAGTTAGCAACCTGGAGGAGGTGAAAAGTTACCTGGCGTCTGCCTACCCCAGCAAGTACAGCGAGGTGTTCCCACAGATTAAAAACTGCAGCTTGGAATCGGAGCTGGAAACGGTAAGGTGCTGGCAAGGTCTCGGGCCCTTTGGGAGCTGTTCTAGAGAAAGTGCAACTTGAGGGGTATGCACACCCTGGGAAAATCAGGGAAAACTCGGGACTTCCCTGGCAGTCCAGTGGTTAAGACTCCACGCTTTCACTGCAGGGGGCACGGGTTTGTTCCCTGGTCGGGGAACTAAGATCCCACATGCTGTGCGTGGTGTGAAAACAAACAAAAAATCCAAAACAACAACAACAATATATATATATATATATGTATCTCCTTCCTTGTGCCTCTTAGAGGACGAGAACTCTGCCCACTAGTCTCCCCGAGTGCTGCACGGGAATCCCAGTCTCTACACAGTTCCTTTGGGTTCCCTGTGTCCTTTCTTCCTTTAAATTTTCTCTTTTTAAAATTGAAAAATAGAGGAAAGTATAAAGAATAATACAACAAACACACATCTATCCACCTCTCAGAATGAAAAATTGTAAATATTTTGTCATTTTGGGCTCAGATTTTTTTTATGTAAAAGAGAACATTTCAAGGATAAAGGTAAAATCCCTTTTGTTACTGTTCCCAAAGCTTTCACTACTCCCCAGAGGCCAGAACCTTCTTTTTTTTTTTTTTTTTTTTTTTGCGGTACACGGGCCTCTCACTGCTGTGGCCTCTCCCGCCGCGGAGCACAGGCTCCGGACGCGCAGGCCCAGCGGCCACGGCTCACAGGCCCAGCCGCTCCGCGGCAGGTGGGATCCTCCCGGACCGGGGCACGAACCCGCGTCCCCTGCATCTGCAGGCGACTCTCAGCCACTGCGCCACCAGGGAAGCCCTGTAAGAGCTACATTTTATTCCATCATTCAAATATCCTACAATTTACTGGACCCAGGCCAGCGGCAGTAGAAGCCCAAAGTCCTAACCACTGGACAACCAGGGAGTTCCCTATGGATTCCCTTACTGATAGACATTTGGGTTTTTCCAAAAAACTTTTGCTATTGAAATCACCTTTATTTATATTTTACAGAATTATATTTGCTATGCTGGCAACTTTTTTTTTTTTTTTAATAATTGAAGTATTGTGTTACTTTCTTACATACATCAAAGTGAGTCAGTTATACATATATATTCTTTTTCATATTCTTTTCCGTTATGGGATATTACAGGATATTGAATATAGTTCCCTGTGCTGTAGAATACTACCTTCTGGTTTATCCATTCTATATGTATAGTTTTCATCTGCAGGTCCGAAACCCCCAATCAAACCCTACCCCAACCCCGCTAGGCAACCGCAAGTCTATTCTCTATGTATGTGAGTCTTTTGTTCTTTCATAGATAAGTTCATTTGTCATATTTAGTTTTTCAAACTTTGTTGAATTTAATTTTATTTTATATTGGAGTATAGTTGATTTACACTCTTGTGTTTGTTTTAGACATCCAGCAACCTGATTCAGTTATACGTAGACACAGATCTATTCTTTTTCAGATTCTTTTCCCCTATAGGTTATTAAAGGGTGTTGAGTAGACTTCCCTGTGCTACAGAGTAGGTCTTTGTTGGTATCTCTTTTATATATATTAGTGCATATATGTTAATCACAACCTCCCAAGTTATACCTCCTCCACCCCACTTTTCCTATTTGGTAACTGTTAAGTTTCTTTTCTAAATCTGAGAGTCTGTTTCTGTTTTGTAAATTGGTACGTTTGTATCAGTTTTCAGATTCCACCTGTAAATGATGTCATATGATATTTGTCGTTATCTGTCTGACTTACTTCATTTAGTATGATCATCTCTAGGTCCATCCTTGTTGCTGCAAATGGCATTATTTCAATTTTCATGGCTGAGTAATATTCCATCATATAGATTCACATCTTTTCTATCCATTCCTCTGTCAATGGACATTTTGGTTGCTTCCATGTCTTGGCTATTGTAAACAGTGTGGCAATAAAGGTTGGGGTGCATGTGTCTTTCCGAATGATGGTGTTCTCTGGGATTACGCCCATGACTGGGATTGCAGGATCGTATGGTAGCTCTATTTTTAGTTTTTTAAAGAAGCTGCAGATTGTTCGCCATAGTGGCTGTCACAAATTTCCATTCCCACCAGCAGCATGTAGGCAGCTTCCGTTTTCTCTACACCCTATTCTGCATTTATGCTTTGTGGACGTTTGTTGATGGCCGTTCTGACTGGTGCGAGATAATACCTTGTCCAAGTTTTGATTTGCATTTCTCTAATAATTAGCGATGTTGAATATCTATCCCTGTGCTTTTTTTTTCTTTTTTAACAGTGTGAGTAAAGCTAAACTCTTGAAACTGGCTTCTTGAAAGTCGGCCCTGTTTTGAATTCTTTTTCCGTTACCTACAACAGGACATTTCTTTAGACCAGGGGTCATTTACTGCCCCGCAGGCTTTGGGAATATTAAGTGCCCATAAGCCCCCTTTTAAAGATGTTGTTATGAGAAACGGCCACAAGGCGGCAGCATTTCTTCATGCCCCACTCTGGTAACTCCAGCAACCAGAGGCTTAGAGAAAGTCGTATTCCTGGGTTGTAAATTACAGGGAAAATGCCCGAAGAAAACCCCGAGGGTTTACATCTCGTCTCGTTACTTCATCCCCTCACCGCACAGACTGATCCCCAACCCCTGCAAAAGTGCTATGCAGATGGTGCTGTGGTACATACAGGGGGCGCCTCTAAGGAACGAGGCTAGAGGTGGGAACCCCACCACCAAACCCATGAAGACCAGGTGACTTTTCAAAGCTCTTCCTACCCAGAGGGTCCCCCGTCCTTTGGGTGCACTAGGCTTGATTCAGCTGTAGGAGGACCTGCCTGGATCTGGAGATTGTAGTCCCATGCAGAGGGGACCAGGCACTACAGGTCCAAGGGGTGGGGCTCGTTTGCCGGCACATCCTCCCCAGCTCCTTCAGCCCCAGCACACTCCAGCCTTGGGACCCAATCCTGCTCAGGCTCCAGGGATGTGACACCAGCCCAGGTCACCGAGGCCTCAGGGCAATATAGTAGGCGTTTTTTCCCTCTTTTTTCTTTAAATTTAATTTTTACTTTCTGTTGGAGTATGGTTGATTTACAGTGCTGTGTTTGAGTTTTACAGCAGCTTGATTTAGTTATACATGTATGTACCTGTTCTCTTTCAGATTCTATTCCCACATAGGCTATTACTGAGTGTTGAGTAGAGGTCCCTGTGCTCTCTAGTAGGTCCTCACTGGTTATCTATTTTTATACATATATATGTGTGTGTATGTGTGTGTGTATATATATATACATATATATACATATGTATATATATACATATATTAGTGTGTATGTGTTAATCCCAACCTTCTAATTTCTCTCTCCCACCTCTGCAACTTCCCCCTTTGGCAACTCTGAATTTCTTTTCTAAGGCTGTGAGTCTGTTTTTGTTTTGTCAGTTATTTCATTTGTATCTGTTTTTAGATTCCACGTGTAAGTGATATCATATCATATTTGTCTTACTGTGTCTGAGTTACTGGACCTAGTGAGATCATCTCCTGATCCATCCATGTTGGTGCAAATGGCATGATTTCATTGTGTTTTCGGGCTGGGAAATAGTCCACTGTGTATATGTAGTGCATCTTGTTTATCCATTCATTAATCTCGGTGGATTTTCGGTAGTTTTGATGCCTCGGCTATCGTAAATCTTACTGCAGTGACCACTGGGGTGCACGTGTGTATTTGAAAGATGGTTTTCTCCGGATATTTGCCCAGGAGTGGGATTGCTGGAGATTATGGGAGCTCTATTTTTCAGTTTTTAAGGACCTTCCCTACTGCTCTTCATTGTGGCTATTACCAATTTACCTTCCTCCCAACAGCATTGTTGGGTTCCCCTTTCTTCACGTCCTCTGCTGCATTTATTCTTTGGAGAATTTTTGATGACTGGTGCCAGGGGATAACTCGTTGTCATTTTGATTTCCATTTTTCTACTCGTTGGCGACGCTGAACATCTTTTCACGTGCTTTAAAACAAACAAAAAAACACAACAGGGTGAGTAAAGTTAATCTCTCGAAATTGTTTTGAAAGTCGGCCCTGTTTTGAGTTCTTTTTCCGTTACCTACAACAGGACATTTCTTGAGAGCAGGGATCATTTAGTGCCCCGCAGGCCTTGTGAATATTAAGTGACCATGAGCAGTGTTTTAAGGATGTTGTTATGAGAAGCGGCCACAAGGCGGCAGCACTTCTTCATGCCCCACTCTGGTAACTCGGGCAACCATAGGCTTAGAGAAAGCTGTGTTCCTGGGTTCTAAATTACATGGAAAATGCCGGAAGAAAACCCCAAGGGCCTGTGGCTGGATACTTCCCACCCCCCTCACCGTGCAGACTGATTCCCAACCCCTACAGTAGTGCTATGCTGATGGTGCCATGGTTCGTAGGTGGGGCGTCTCTAAGGAAGGAGGCTGGAGGTGGGAACCCCACCAGCAGGAGCCGTGGAGATCCGGTGTCTTTTCACAGCTCTTTCCTCCCAGCAGGTCCACCATCCTTTGGGTGCACTAGGCTTGCTTCAGCAGTAGGAGGACCCGTGTGGATCCGGAGACTGTGGTCCCACGCAGAGGGGACTAGGCACCACAGATACAAGGGTGGGGCTCGTTTGCCGGCACATCCTCCCCAGCTCCCTCAGCCCCGTGACAGCCCAGCCGTGGATCCCAAGCCTGCTCAGTCTCCAAGAATGTGACACCAGTCCTGGCCACTGAGGCCTCAGGGCAATATAGTCTGCATTTGTTCCCTCTTTTATAATTTATTTTTTATTTTCTGTTAGAGTACGGTTGATTTACAATGCTGTGTTTGAGTTTTACAGCAGCTTGATTCAGTTATACATATACAAGAACCTATTCTCTTTCGGATTCTTTTCCCACATAGGTTATTACTGAGTGTTGAGTAGAAGTCCCTGTGCTCTCCAGTAGATGCTCATTGATTATTTTATAATTATATATACACATACATATTAGTGTGTATGTATTAATCCCAACCTCCTAATTTCTGTCACCGCCCCCCCTGCAACTTCCCCCTTTGGTAACTCTAAATTACTTATCTAAGGCTGTGAGTCTGTTTTTGTTTTGTCAGTTCATCTGTATCCTTTTTTAGATTCCACCTGTAAGTGATATCATATATTTGTCTTACTCTGACTTACTGGACTTAGTTAGATCATCTCCTGATCCATCCATGTTGCTGCAAATGGCATGATTTCTGTTTTCTGGCTAACAGTCCACTGTGCACACGTATGGCGTTTTCTTTATCCGTTCATTCAACTCGATGGACATTTCAGTAGTTTCGATGCCTCGGCTATTGTAAATCTTACCTCAACGACTGTTGGGGTCCGTGTGTGTATTTGAAGGATGGTTTTCTACAGATATTTGCCCACGAGTGTTATTGCTGGACCTTATGGGAGCTCTATTTTTCATTATTTAAGGACCTTCCCTACTGCTGTCCATTGTGCTGTTACCAATTTACCTTCCCACTTATCAGGGGTTCCTTGTTCTCCAGACACTGTCCCTTATTTATTGTATGTAGACTTTTTGGGGTTTTTTGACCAGGCTGATTGTCCTTCGTACTGCTGAGGTGATAACTTGTAGTTTTGATTTGTATTTGTGTCATAATTATATATGTTGAACTCTTTCCTTGTGCCTTTTGGCCATATATATATATATATATATATATATTTTTTTTTTTTTTTTTTTGGAGAAATGTTGTTTTAGGTCTTTTTTCCTTTTTTTTTTTGATTGGGTTGTCTTGTTGTTGAGTCGTACATGCTGTTTGTATATCTTTGAAATTTAGCCCTTGTAGGTTGCATCATTTTGAAATATTTTCTCCTAGTCCATAGTTGTCTTTTTGTTCATGGTTTCCTTCGATGTGCAAAAGCTTTATGTTTGATTGGGTCCATTGGTAGGTTTGCTTTTATTTCTGTTGCCTTGAGTCTGACCTAAGAAAATGGTATGATTTATGTCACAGAATGTTTTGCCTGTGTTCTCTTCTGGGGTTTTATCGTGTCATATCTTGTATTTAAGACTTTAATCCCTTTTGAGCTTATTTTTGTGTATGGTGTGAGGGTGTGTTCTAACTTTATTTGCGGCTGTTCAGCTTCCAACACTACTTGCTGAAAAGACTGTCTTTTCTCCATTGTATATTTTTGCTTTCTTTGTTGAAGATTAATTGACTGTAGGTGTGTAGGTTTATTTCGGGCCTCTGTATTCTGTTCCATTGATCCATATGTCTGTTTTTGTGACCATGACACTGTTTTCTTTACTGTAGCTTAGTAGTATTTTCTGAAGTCTGGGAGGGTTGTGTCTCCTGCTGTGCTCTTTTTCCTCAGGATTGCTTCGGCAATTCTGGGTCTTTTTTTGGTTCCATATAAAGGATTATTCTGGTCTGTGAAAAATGCCATGTATAATTTGATAAGGATCTCATTAAATCTGTAGATTGCTTTGCGTAGTGTGGCCATTTTAGCAACATTATTCTAGGACTTTTTTTTTTTTTTAATATTTATTTGGTTGCGCCAGCTCTTAGTTGAGGCAGGCAGGCTCCTTAGTTGCGGCACGTGGGCTCCTTAGTTAAGGCTCACGTGCTCCTTGGTTGCGGCATGCACGTGGGATCTAGTTCCCTGATCAGGGATAGAACCCAGGCCCCGTGCGTTGGGAGTGTGGAGTCTTATCCACTATGCCACCAGGGAAGTCCCTGGGACCTTTTTTTTCACATTAATTTTCAGGTCAATTTGACAAGTTCCACTGGGGGGTGGGAAATCCCTTTAACTTTTATTAGAATTGCACTGACTCTGTAATATAATTTGGGAACAATCAATATTTTTTTCAACTGTGACTTCTGATTTAGGAGCAGGCTTTTTCTCATCATTCACTGAAGTCTTCTTTTATATTCTGCAACTAATTTTTCTCCACAGAATCCTGGCAGATCTTTGATTTACCTTTATGTCTATGAACCTTATTGTTTTGTTCCTATTGTAAATAGTGTTCATTTCCCAATTTCTACCATTGCTGGTTTTCGTTGCAAAAGCTAACGGTTTTTGTGTTGGTCCTTTATCTAGCAACCTTGATGAATTCTCTTATTCTCATATTTGTCTATATATTTGCTTTACTTTTCTATGTAATTCTTATGGCACCTGCGGATCCTAGGAATTTTTTTCTAGCACAGTGGAAGTGCAAATGAGAGTGGGCATGTTTGTCTAATTCTTACATTTAATGTAAATACTTCTAGAGACTGCTTCTAGAAAGTGTCTCTAGAGAATGCCTTTCAAGAAGAGGGAACAGTAAAGGTCCATAGCTCTGCTTGCCAGTAAGGTACCTTGGAGTTTTTGTGGCCCTTTGATTTCATAGGTGGAGCCATTCCAGGTCATTTCGTGGATGAGGCAACACTTTGTTATTCCTTCCTCCCTGCTTACACTGACCTGTGGCACGACCCTCCCTACCAGGGTGTCAGCAGATCCCCAGACCTCAGCCCCTGCCTTTAAGGCCTGGATCCTGTTCAGATGACTTCTGAGGCCTACTTGTGTTCCTGCTCAGTTCAAATTTCCTTTTTGTTTCTGGCACCTGGGAATTTTCCTCACTTACTTTTTGAGTTTGGCTCAGTGCCCAAGAATTGTGTGGTTATTGATTTATTTAGACTTTTTTCCACTTGAATTTTTCCATGAATCTTTAACAAAGTTTAAAGTTAAACTATACCTTGAGTTCCTTCCCAAACAGTACAAGGACTTTCAGACACTTTCACTCACCCCTCTTGTTTTAAATACCTTTTATGTCCAATTCTTTTTATTTATTTTTTAAAGGTTAACAGATTTTTTTTTTTTTTTTGGCTGCATTGCGTCTTTGATGCTGTGCGTGGGGTTGTGGTGAGTGGGGGGCTACTCTTCTCTCCGGTATGAGGGCTGGGCTTTTCATTGCGGTGGCTTTTATTGTTGCAGAGCACGGGCTCTAGGCGCGTGGGCTCAATAGTTGGTGGCGCACAGGCATAGTGGCTTGTGGAATCTTCCCGGACCAGGGTTCGAACCCATGTCCCCTGAATTGGTGGGTGGATTCTTAACCACTGAGCCACCAGGGAAGTTCCCAATTCTTTTTAAACTGATAAATTGGATGCTATTGTTATTGTATACAACAGTGTCTGTATTGACCGGCATGCTTGCTAGTTTATTTGTTCACCTCTATTGCATCCCAGCTGTCTTCTGGGGGCATGTATTATCAGTGACACTGCTTAGCACTGCTGGCTCACGGTAATAAAAAGCAGGCCACCTTTAGTAGGTTCTGTTGTTTTTAAATTCTCTGCAAGTGATCACTCCCTTATGGTCTGCACCCAGGGCGGATGAATACCATTGTCCCCATTGGTATGCTGTTGAGCTGTCCTGTATTTTGAATCTGACAATCCAACATCTGCCATTCCAGGGGAAGGGTGCTGAAATCTTAGTTCTTATTCCTGCTGACTCTTCACTCACAGTGGCATGTTTTCTGGTCAGTTTATAAATCTCGGGTTGCAAGCTCACCGCTTGATCATCTCTGGTGGTCTTACAGGTAACCCAATTCAGACCTGCAATGGAAGCCTTCCCCAGTGTTTGCTTCTGCTGCTTCTGCTGCTGGCAGCCAGGGGTGCTTCCCCACCCCCACCCATAAGCCCTTTCAACCAGGAGCTGAGGCTCTATTTCCACAGTTCAGTATCCCTACAGCAGCGTCACCGCCGCAGGCATCTGGCCTCTGAGCAGCCTGCCCACTTGGTTGCCTGCCGGCCAGGCCAGCTCCCCACCATTCTGGCCCCTGTAGCTGTGGCTCCACCATCTCAGCTCCCGGAACACCCAGTCAGTCATGATACAGGAAGCAGAAATTATGCAACCATTATTTTACTATATTTTATCCATAATGATGTGAGTTGGGGCAGGAGAGAGGAACTCAGCGTTCCAAGTTGACTGAGGTGTCTCCTCACACTTTGCAAATAAGGGCTCCTGACAGCTCGCATTTCTGTCCAGCCCAGCTTACCCTCAGTGGGCTGGTGTGCAGGTGGAAGATCCAACCTCAGAATGTGGCTTCTCGTGGCTGGTTCTCAGGTTCCCCAAGTAGCTTAGCACCTGGGGAAGAAGTCCTAAGTCGCCCGGGTGTGTAACTGGTGTCTTCATCCTGTGGGCAGGCCGTCCAGGGCACCGGCCTGGCCTTCATCGTCTACACAGAGGCCATTAAAAACATGGAGGTGTCCCAGCTGTGGTCGGTGCTCTACTTCTTCATGCTGCTGATGCTGGGCATTGGAAGCATGCTGGGGAACACGGCCGCCATCCTCACCCCTCTGACCGACAGCAAGGTCATCTCCAGCTACCTGCCCAAGGAGGCAATCTCAGGTGAGTGGGCCAGCGAAGGCGGCGGGGCTCGGGGAGGTGAGCAGAGGGAGGAGTCTCCTCAGGGGCCGCGGGCTCAGCGAGAGGCCGCAGCAGCCTCACTGGGGTCCTGCCATGGCTCTCTCCTCTCGGGCAATCTGGGACCTGGTACACATGATTCACCCCATGCATCTGGTTCTCCACATCACAGGGGAGTGAAGTGGTCACCCCAACCTTCGCAAAGGCCAAACCCCCCAGCACGGCCCTCAAAGCTCTCCAGGCCAGCAGAAAACCTGCTTTTGTCTTTGTGTTGACTGAAGCATAACAACAACACGTACATTTCTCACACCGGAGAGCCCCTCCCTGCTCCTGCCCCATCAGTACGCCCCCATCCCCGTCCTCTTTCCCGTCTGTGTAATAATCCAGCCTAAGACCATACACCACAATTCATCTACCCATTCTGCAGCTGGCAGACCTTTGCCTTGTGAGGGCAAGAGCCTGTTTATCCAGGCCTGCCTCTCCACTTCACTCCACCACCCATCTGCTCCAGTGCAACCGGGCAGTGTCCAGAGAACCGTGACTCCTCACCCCCACATCCAGAACCCCTCGTCCCAGCCCACATCAAACCCAGCTCCCACCAGAGCCCTCTAGCGCTTAGCCTCCCTGCCCTCAGGAGCCAGCATTGTGAGCCGAGCCTCCCCTCCCGCACAGAGCCTGTTCTTGTGTCCGCCTCAGGACAGCAGTGGGGCTCACTGGCTGGTGGTGTAGGCTGTGGCCATGGAAAGGGCAGGTGGGAGCTTTAGAGTCTAATACTTTGTGGGGTGCCCAAGGGAGGCAGCAGAGACTGGAGCCAGAGCTTCGGTTCTGGAGCCAGAAGGGCCTGTGTCTGAATTCCAACTTTCTTTCTGTGCTGTGGAATGTTGGGAAAGTTACCCGACATCTCTGAGCCTTGGCTTCCCCCTCTGTAGAAGGGGGCTCCTGATAACCTGCCCCAGAAGCTAAAGCCTCCACTGCATGGCAAGTGCCTGGGGCGCAGTAGCAGCTGGGTAAGCATTTGTTTCTTCTCCTCCCCTCCCTACTCCTCTCTTCTGGTCAGATGTGAATCCTCTCTAGGGGGTCCTGTGAGGGGTGCCCTGCAGCTCAAATCTCCTCCCCTGATTCACTTCCCATGAGCTTAGTGGCTGAGTTGCTGGGATAAACAGAGTCACCAGACCCATAGATTGGGTGAGATTCCCCTAGACAGCAACGCCTACAAGTTTCTCTTTTCCACCAAGTTTGATTCCCCACTACTGGACGGCCCCATGAATTAACAGCAGGAAGTCCTGCTGACACTCCTTGCAACACCTTTGCCCCACGCTGCCCAACACACACACGTGGCACACACGTGCAGAGAGGCCAGTCCACGACGGCTCCCCCAGCCCATGAGGATGAACTGAACGGCCAGCGCCTCCTCAGGGTCCATGGCTCTTGGGCCCCATAGAAAGCTGGGTGCGCAGGCCAGGGTCTCAGGTGGGTGAGCAGGCGGTCTTGTGCTCCTAGGTCTGGTGTGCCTCGTCAGCTGTGCCATCGGCTTGGTGTTCACCATGGAGGCCGGCAACTACTGGTTCGACATCTTCAATGACTACGCTGCCACGCTGCCCCTGCTGCTCATTGTCCTGGTGGAGGCGGCCGCCGTGTGCTACCTGTACGGACTGAGGAGGTAGGAAGCCTGCCCCGCCAGCCGCCCAGGAAACCCACCCGTGAAGGCCATGCCTCACAACACTTTCTGCCACATGTAGTTTCGAGAGTCCCAAGTGTTCACATTATGCACGTGGGTCTTTGTGGTCTGCAGCGGCGGGGGGGGGGGGGGGGGCGGCGGTGGTGATGGACACGCTGCAGGGTCCAGGAGAGGCAGGGGCTGTGGTTCCCCCCGTGACAGTCTCACCCGGCCCCCTCCCCTCCCCCATGGCTGCCTTTTCTGCCGTGGGGAGCAGTTTCAAAGGCCCTGGACTGGAGGTAAGACACCAATCCGGATGCTGGGCCTGGGTCGGCCACTACCTGGGTGCCCTCAGGCAAGTCACATCACAGCCCTGGACCTCGGTCCCCTCCCCTGGGAAACGGGGAGGTGGCTGGGTCAGCATTTCTCAAATTGCTGAGATACTTTCCATCCTCATTTGTGTGTGTGTGGGGGGGGGGGGGCAGAAAAATATGATTAGCCTATCCAATCCATGGTAAAACGGATATATTGTCATGCTATTGCTAAATTCAGGTAAATGAGTCAATTATAAAAAGCCCACAGACGATGGGAATCACAATGGTGGGCTGCAGGCAGCTACACTTGGGAAGCACCACTCCATGCCAGCTCCAACGGGTCAGGGCCAAGGTGCTTCTGCTTCCTCCAGGTTTTCCCTCTGCCCCCCAGAAAACCTGCTCTGGTTTCAGGGGACAAAAGCGATTCCCCTGTGGGGGCGTTTCTAGGGGGAAGGAGAGTTGCTGACAGACAGCAGGGTGGGAGGGGTGGAGCAGGGCTGCCCTCGCGGTCCCCTGGTGTTGAGGACTGGCTTCACAGGCATCCCGCCAGGCCCTCTGGTGTACAGCAGCAGCCTCCAGCTGAAGGCCGGCACCAGGAGGATGGCCTCTGATGTCCACTCGCCTATGGGTGGTTGCTCTGCCCCCTCTGTGGCGGCCTCAGCCCTTCTTCCCTCCCTGCCCCCAAGACCCCCACAAGGAATCAGAGACCGCCCAGTGGTCGTGTTCAGACATCAGTGGTGCCCAGCACAGAATCTTCCTGAGCAGACGAGGAGGTGTGGCCTGGACTGCCTGGCGCCAACAGCATGGATAATCCAAGCTTTCTCTCCCCACCTCCAAACAGATTCGAAAGCGACCTTAAGGCTATGACTGGACACGCTCTGAACTGGTACTGGAAGGCCATGTGGGGCGGTGTGAGCCCGCTGCTCATCATCAGCCTCTTTGTCTTCTACCTGAGTGACTACATCATCACAGGGACCCTGCAGTACCAAGCCTGGGACGCCTCCCAGGTATGTAAAAACATCACCCAGGTATGTAAAAATACTCAGCCCAGCAGCTGGGCTGAGTTTTTCAACATGGGCTGCAGTGAAGAGAGTGAGATTCCGTCCAGAACTTCCTGGTGGCCTCTGTCCACTGAGGCCACTCAGGCAAGGCCAAGCAAGGCTGGAGGGCATGGCCCCTGAGGAGCTGGGTGGGGCAGGGACTGGCGTTTACACTGGAGTTGCTAGGACAGAACCGGGGACTGAGAGGGGCACTCAGGAGGCTGGGCTGCATCTGCTCACCCAGCAGAGGGCAGCACATCAGTGTTTTAACAACCTGGACAGCCGTATCACGGCACCAGGCCTGAGGGTCAGCCTTGGCTGTCCTTGCACAGACACTCTCTCATAAAAAAGATTTACTTTTTAAGGAAAGTAATACAACTGACCAATTTGGATTTCTTTCCCTGTGGGTAGAAGATGCTGCCCCTTAGCATATGGTGTGTGTGTGCAGTGTGCACCCCGTGCTCCAGTCCACACACTCCACGCTGCACCATGGCTGGGAAGGCGCCACCGCGTCTGGTTCTGGCAGTGGTGCCGAGCAGGGCTTCCCACCCCGCAGTGGAGGAGCAGGGTGTTTCCTCCAGTCCCTGCAGCCTGATACTTTTGGAAAATGCAATTAACAGTGAATGCCTTAAAAAAAAAAAGGTAGAGCAAATACAAGCACCAAATATGTATCAGATTCAGCAGACACAGGATTATAGGCTGTCAAACTGCTAAACTCATTTATGTTTCCTCCCAATTCCTGTACTCGTCACACAGAACACAGTGAGTAACAGACGAGCGACAGCAGTCTGTGGGCTGGTTCCCGCGGCCACACCCGGCTGGCATTTTGGTTTACAAACCATACGTGCTTTGGTTGACAGCAAGTACCTGCTCCCTGGATTTAGCTGTCCTCTGGTTCCTTTGTGGAAAGGTAGTGTAGCATTTAGTGGCTTTTGGGCCTCAACTGGTTTCTCATCAGTTTTGCATTTACGGAACCATCTATCATTCTTCCAAGTAAGTCCTGAGGTCCATCAACACTTCTCCTGAGATGAGAGCTGTGCTGCTGGACACAGAAGCTAATAACCACATGTGGCTACTGAAATTTAAACAATATTTAAAATTCACTTCTTGCGCATCCCCGGCCACATTCCCAGTGCTCAATGGCCACCTATGCCTGGTGGCTGCTGTACTGGACAGGTAGCCCCTACATTTAGGTGCCCTGCTGCTGCCTTGAACGTAAGCCTTGGAGGGTTCTCATGGTTGCTCTTTCCAGATAGCTCCAAACAGTATGCACAGGGGGAGTTAGTCTGCCCAGCAGAGCCACTAGTGACCTGCACGCAGAGCTGGGGCGGCCCCGTGTGCAAGGATGCCCGGCCGCAGATGCTCTCTTCCTCGCGCTGGAGGGCCTGAGGCCCGGAGGGGTGGTGCCCTCGGAAGGCTCCGCACGGGAGGTTCTTTCTTCTGACACTCAGGTTCCTCCTTCAGGGCCAGCTTGTGACCAAGGACTACCCCCCGTATGCACTGGCCATCATTGGGCTGCTCGTGGCCTCCTCTACCATGTGCATCCCCCTGGGGGCCCTGGGGACTTTCATCGTGCGCCACCTCAAGCGGAGAGACACAGCCTCCGTGGCCTGAGAGCTGGGCTTCCCCGAGACTGCCGTCAGCCGCTATCTTACAGCCACTTACGTACAGATGGAGCCGCCTCGGCTGCTTTTGGAAATATTGACTCCGGAAGCACTCAGCCCATCGTTTTCTCGAGTCTAGAAAGGATTAGGAAGGTGAAAAGAAAGACTACTCCCTCAGCAGGACACACACCCCACCCGCCACCCCCAGAGTCACACACGGTGCTTCCTCCCTGTCACCACGGAGGCAGAATTCTCACAGCCAGTCTTGAAGACAACTGCTCGACTCTAGCAAAGTCCTAGAAGTAGGGCACACCGGGAGCTGAAATTTGACTACTGTTTTTATGGGATAAAATTTAAGGAATGTTTTCTGGTGAGATCCCAACATACTAGCGGGCATTCATTTTTAGAGAATTTTGAAAAGGAGTTTTTTAACTAAGATGACTAATCTGAATGTCATCAATGCAAAATTAATTAGTTCTTTTTTCAGTCACGGTGAACCTGCAATCACTGTGTTCTCCTTCGCTAATAGGATTGACTGGCCATAAAGAAAGAAGGCCTTTGTTTGGAGCTCACAAAAGGAGTCACTTTTCCCTAATCTGAGGCCTCTCAGTGGGTCCAAGACCAGTCCTCTCTACGAACAACCCCAAACCACCTTCGGCCCTGGTGTCTCACGACACTGAAAAGCTGCCAGAGCCTCTATGAGGATGAAAGTGAAGCTAACTTTCCCATAGACCTAAGGTTATATTTGGACATGATGACCAACTCTTTATAGGAAAGACCATAACCTAGTTTTAAATTATCTGTACGTAAGTTTTCTAAAATGTATAGAAAGACGGCTCTCAAACAGAACACCCAGTAAGCGAAGACACCATATTTATGATACAGCATTAGTCCACCTTGTGAACGTCTCCTGTCGTTTAACTGCAATAAGTAGGTCAGGGTTATCCCGGAAGTGAGGAGGTCCCTTACTGCTCTAACACTCCTCAATTCCATGCTCTCAGTGAAGCACACAGTTTCTTTGAGTAGATTTGTACAGACATCTTTAAAGACACTTACACATTCACCTGGAACATCAGATGTTCTAGAGATGGCTTTTCTTTTTCATGCCATAAACTTCCCTATAACAAGAAATAGGCATTAGAAAGGTCTTAGGCAGTCTTGAACTTCCAGCTTCACCTGATGCCCATAAAAAGACCACTTGGTGGTGTTAGGCAAGCTGGAGAGCCGCATGTAAGTCAATGCAGTTAGAACACACCCCCACCCCATATACAAAAATAAACTCAAAATGGCTTAAAGACTTAAATATAAGACACGACACCGTAAGACTCCTAGAAGAGAACATAGGTAAAGCATTCTCTGACATACATAAATCGTGCCAATGTTTTCTTAGCTCACTCTCCCGAGAGAACAGAGAGAAAAACAAACAAATGGGATCTAAACAAACTTAAGCTGTTACACAGCCAAAAAAAACCCATAAACACAACAAAAAGACAACCTATGGACTGGAAGAAAATACTTGCAAATGATGTTACCAACAAGGGCTTAATTTCCAAAATATACAAACAGGTCAACAACAAAAAATAACCCAATCCAAAAATGGGCAGAAGGCCTAAATAGACATTTCTGCAAAGACAACATACAGATGGCCAACATGCACATGAAAAGATGCTCAACATCACTAATAGAGAAATGCAAATCAAAACTGCAAATCAAAATGTCACACACCAGTCAGAATGACCATCATTAAAAAGTCTACAAATAGGGCTTCCCCGGTGGCGCGGTGGTTAAGAATCCACCTGCCAATGCAGGGGACATGGGTTCGAGCCCTGGTCCGGGAAGATCCCACATGCTGCGGAGCAACTAAGCCTGTGTGTCACAACTACTGAGCCTGCGCTCTAGAGCCCGTGAGCCACAACTACTGAAGCCCGCGTGCCTAGAGCCCGTGCTCCGCAACGAGAGAAGCCACTGCAATGAGAAGTCCGCGCACCGCAACAAAGAGTAGCCCCTGCCAAATAAACAAATAAAAATTAAAAAAAAATAAGTCTACAAATAACAAATGCTGGAGAAGGTGTGGAGAAAGCAGAACCATCCTACACTGTTGGTGGGAATGTAAACTGGTGCAGCTACTATGGAAAACAGTATGGAGGTTCCTCAAAAAACTAAAAATAGAGTTGCCATATGATCCAGCAATCCCAATCCTTGGCATATATCCAGACAAAACTATAATTCAGAAAGATACAGGCACCCCTGTGTTTACAGCAGCACTATTTACAATAGCCAAGACATGGAAACAACCTAAATGTCCATCGACAGATGAATGGATAAAGATGTGGTACATATATACAATGGAATATTACTGAGCCATAAAAAAGAACGAAAGCATGCCATTTGCGGCAGCATGGATGGACCTAGAGATGATCATACTAAGTACGTCAGAAAGAGAAAGACAAATACCATATGATATCACTTATATGTGGAATCTAAAATATGATACAAATGAACTTATCTATGAAACAGACTCACACAGAACAGACGTGTGGTTTGCCAAGGAGGAGGGGGCGTGGGGGAAGGATGGATTGGGAGGCTGGGATCGGCAGATGCCAACTATTATATATAGAATGGGTAAACAACAAGGTCCTACTCTAGCACGGGGAACTATATCCAGTATTCTGTGATAAACCATAATGGAAAAGAAAAAAAAATCACTTGGCTTTAAAATGCATGAAGCAGCATTTACTTACCACAACTAGTCAGTCCTCTGGTTTCTCGTCAGAGGGTTCTCCGGTGTCACAAGACCTCGGCTATCAAGGCTTGGAGAGTAAGCACACTCAACAGCACATACACAGCACAGAGTCTGTTCCTGAATCCTTACGGGTCACAGTCTCCGAGCCCCCAGCCCAGGTCACTGTCTTACAACAGGGGCCGCCCCTCGGGGGTTGGTTATCACCTGGGTATTTCAGCCCTGAATGCTAGGTATCCTCAGGAGTGTAGACACAAATGTTGTTCTAGAGCAGCTCTTCATTCACAGTTGCTGTACTTCAGTGGTCCTCCACCTCAGTGTCCATTCCAACCACCCGGGAGCATTTAAAACTCCTGGTGTCCAGGCCACGCCCTGGAACCTGCCAAATCTGAGAACCAGGGCCCTGTTTAAGAGAGAAGGAAAATGTGTCATACATTTAGGCACACTTACATCGAAAGTGACCTTTAAAAGTTTGAAAGCACTTTTGAGCATTTCTAATTGTATGGAAAAGTTACTTCTCCAGAATAATATTTGCTCACAGAAGTCAAACAGATGAAGTCCCATTATTATAGACTAATGTGCTCCAGATGAAAATGTCTCCAGCTTGGGTTCAGTTTTATTCTGCTTTCTGAGAACTGCATGAAGAGCAGAACATTTCATAGTAATCCTCAGTCCTGTTTCAAAAAATTCTTTGAATTCTTTGACTATTTTCTAGGGACTGCACAAAAGCAGTCATCTTAACATTTGTCCACCCTCTTCCAATAAGCTGGAGAGAAAAAGGCACGTTTCATCCCTGTGCCCTTAGCAGTACAATGACATTAGAGCCAGACACGGACTCCAGAAAGCTTTCTGATTATACTAAAAACACACCTAATCTTAGTTCTAAAGAATCAGGTAGGGAAATATTTGGGGTTTTTTTAGCAATTGTCATAAATAAAACCCTAAACAAATATATCTCTAGGTCTTTTTGGTCACTTATGAGATGTAGTTTTGTTTTGAGACCTCTCAACACAAGATTTTCCCTCTTTATGTAAACATACTAGCTAATTTTGAAAAAAAAAAAAAAAAGGAAAATAAAGGAGAATCCATCTGGTCTCTCTTCTACTGCCTTCTCTGTTTGCTTCCTCACATGCAGTGAAACCGCACCAATGCAGTGCATGAAGGCCATCACGTGAGAAGAGGATCACATGATAACAGGAAGGGTAGCATCCAAAAGAGAAATTAGGAGAAAAAATTCTAATTTGCTGGATTTAAACAGAATGTGAGCTCTTCCGAATTGCTGCAGAATCTTTCCAACCCTTTTGAGAGGTGCCCTGGGCAGTCTGCCCACCTCAGAATCCCTTGTTGGCTGAGGCCATGAGAACCCACACAATAGGTTTGGGTGTGACCTCAGAACTGTCCTGGGGCGGAAAGAGCGTGTCAACTATTGTGTTAGATTTCTGTAAAAGTTATTTTACATAGAAAAATTAATTTATGGCTGTTCCACTTTATAGATAGAAAAGCTGGGGAAGAGAATTAATTCACCCAACCATTTTCTACTCAGCATCCAGTCAGGAAGAAAAAAACCGAGCGATTTAAACAATCCTTTGCAAGGCAAAAAGTACGTCTACAAATATGAAATTCTCAACCAGAATTTTCTGACCAGTCTCTTACATGTGAATCATGTGTCCTTTCGTATTGCCCACCTGCATAGGATCAGCCTTTATGGAGTATATTACAATCCAGTGTCTGTGTAGGCTCTGGGGAAAGTTCTGGTCCCTGGACTTCATGGCTTTTAGATTCTGGAAGGGAAAAAGACAATGATAGATAACAAATGATATTAATTACAGACTGTGATCTTTTCTAAGAAGGAAATAAATGGGCCAAGTGATGGTGTGAGAGGGACAGTGCTTCAATCAGGTGGTCGAGGAGGAGATACGTGGACTGAATTTTGAAGAAGAATGAACTAGTTATTGGAATTGCTGGAAGGTCTGTCCAGGCAGAGGCAATGACAGTGCAAAGGCCCTCAGGAGAGAAAGAGCAGAAAGGAGGCCTGTGGTTGGACTGGGGACGGGAGCGATGGGAGATGAGCTTGGAGAAGTGGGCAGAAACCAGGTCATATAAGGCCTTATAGGCCACAACAGAGCTCCGGTTTCCTTCAAAGAGCAAGAATCTCACCTGAGGGTTTAACGTGGGGCCCTGCGTCATCTAGTTTACACTTGAAAGATCACTTGTAGCTGTGGAGAACAGACTGGAGAGGGTTGTAGATGGGGACCTTGGAAAATTATTCCAGGAGCTACTTTAGGAAGTCCATGGGAAAGATGATGGTGGCATAGACTTGGAAATGAATATGGAGAGGAATAGGTGGGTCTGAGTTATATTTTGGCAGGGGAGAGTTGCCAAGACTTGCTTATGGACTGGATGCATAGTTGAGAGGAGAGGGATGAAATGTTTGACTTACTGGGTGGATGCTGGTGGCATTTCCTGAGATGGAGAAAACTCGGCATGGAACCAGTCTGCAGAGTATAAATCAAGAGCTCTGGGGGGAAAAAAAAGAGCTCTGCTTGACCATACTGAGTTTGAGATGCCTGTGAATCAGGTGGGAGTATCAGGTAGGCAGCAGAACATTAGAATCTGAACCTTTTGGAAAGGTCCGATCTAGATGTATATATATTTGGGAGTCACAGCATCAAGATGCTATTTTAAAACCATGGGTCTAAATGACATCACCTGGGGTAAGTGTGTACATGGAGAGGAGGGCTTAGGACCAAAGCCTACAAAAAAATCCAACATGTGTCCAGACAGGGCCACAGGTTCTTTTCCATCTTTCTCATTGAGAGAGGGGGTCTGTGTCCCTCCCCCTGAATCTGAGTGGGTTTGTGAGTGCTCCAACCAATAGACTATGGCGGAAGGGACACCACTGGACATTAGAGGCTAGATCATACCATGCAAGCTTCCACCTGGTTTTCACTCCGGCCGCCGTGAACCAACCAGGTATGAAGTCCTACGACCTTGAGGCTGCCATGCTGCAAAGCCACATGGAGGTGCTCCAGCTCACAGGACCAGCTGGTCCACCTTCCACCCACCCTTGTGCAGCACCAAACCAGCGCAGACCAGAGACCAGCCCCTCTGTCAGCTGAGTATCACTGAGTGACCTCTGTCAGTGCCATCTGGAACAGAAGAGATCACCCAGCTGTGCCAGGCTCCATTCCTAACTCGCAACACTGTGAGATTACTTTCCAGAAATAGATAACTAGAACAGGGATAAAGCAGAGAGGAGACATCAGTGGGCAACGGAGTTGTGAGTAAAGCTGGACAGAACCCAGGAGAATGTGTGCTCCCAAAAGGTCAGGAGAAGGACATCTTAAATTCTCCAAACATGACTTACAACCTGTACTTTCTACTTCTCCTAACCTCAGAGTCTATGTTTAAACCGAAATCTAATAGGAGCTCAATTTAGGACATAAAATGTAACATGATATTTTAATAGATGAAACTTTAGCTTCCTACAGCTAGAAAAATAAACAGGCAACAGGCACGCATCACTGAAAATGGTGAAGAAAGACGAATGTCTGGGCCTTTGGCTAAAACAAACAAAAAGCGAAGACAAAGTTATGCTCAGAATAATCTGTAAAGGGAAGTGCTAAGAACAAACAGGCCATCTGACCAGTTCACGCAGGACCAGGGCATTCGTGGTAATAATTAAACATGTCACAACTCCTTTTAATTGTCTCTCCCCCTCCACCCCCGCAGTGAAATCCCATTTATGGAGCCTCTGCGTGATGTCCAACACAGAGGATGAGAGCTGGACATCAAGGAAGAGCTCCCGCCTGTAGATGATTTACCTGGGTTTCTCAGCAGGGGTGTGTCCGTGTGCATGTGTTATCCTAGGGAACTGCCATATGGATGAGAATCCAAGAATTTATAGTTAAGAGACCAAGTTCAACACACAAGGGAGGCCCAAATATAAATTAGAGCCCATGTTTTCTTTAACTCCACGGCCAGAGTGCTCGCCCTCATGCGAGCCTTATTCAAAATCAGTTTCACAGAATCGTCCTATTGAGATGCTCTGTAAATAAAAAATTCCACAGACCAAAAAGTCTGGGTGCTGCTGCGTTGCACACACCCTCTAGGGGAGTCAAACCTCTGACAAGTCTGAGAATTGAGACAAGTCTTTGACTATGTTTAACCCAATGTTTCCAAATGGTTCTCACCACAGATCCCTACTGTCAAAAAACAGCTCTGAGCACACAGGACTCGTGTTATTCCAAACACTCAAGACAATGCTTTGCCGAACAGACTGAGAAGCTGGGGGCCCAGAGCTCAGGGAAGAGCCAGGCCATCCTGCAAGACACGGCTGCGTGAGGAAGAGTTCTCAGCAGTGAAAACACCCAGGCCAACGGGACAGAACAGAAAGCCGAAACCCCGCAAGTGGAGGGGAGCCTGATGTGTGACGGTGGCAGCACCACACAGCAGGACGGAGGGAGTCGGGAAGGCTCTCTGCTGACTCTTCCCGTTAACCCAGTGGGAAAAGAAAACTGGAGCCTGTGTCGGATGCCAGCACACAGTCCCTCCCCAGGGGCTACACTCTCCTCCCTCCATCACTTCAAGTATGGCCATGCGACTTGCTTTGACCAATGAAATGTGAACAGAAGAGATTGTCACCTTGACCTTCAAGCAGAAACTTCTCCCTTTTCTTTCTGCCAGGATAACTGGTAATGTTCCTGTGTGAAGCTGTTCCATCACTCTGGGTCCCAGGATGCAGATGTCATGTGGCAGAGCTGCAGCAGACCCTTCAAGGATACACAGAATGAGTGAGAAATAAGTCTTCATTTTTTTAAAGCCACTGAGATTTGGGGATCATTTGTTACCGCAGCATAATCTGATCTACCTGGATTGACACAGACCATTTCCTTACTTTATAGAATGGAGAAAAGACCTGACGTGAAAAAGCAAAATTATGTGAAAAGAAGTCCCTTGAGGTTGAGCAATGTTGTCTTACCCAAGCACAAGGGATGGTAGGAAATTTCTGGTAAATTCAACACCATTGAAATTATACACTTCTTTCACCAAAAGTAACCACAAGAAAATGAAAAGACAAGCCACAAACTAGAAGAAGATATATGTAGTACATATAAGCAACAAAGAATTACTCTCCAGAATATATAAAGAATTTCAGAAATCTTTAAGGACAAGCAATCTAACAGAAACAGGCAAAAGACCTCAAAGGCACAGCACAGGAAACACCCGATTCCCTCCAGCACCAGCTCTGAATCATGACTTTGGATTTTTCTCTCCTTACAGGCTATGGGAACAGACTTCCAGAGAGCCCCACCTCCCGGTATTCATGCCCTGTGTAATCCCCTCCCCGAGTGAGCTGATCTAGTGGCTTGTTTCTAATGCATAGAATATGGCACAAGTAATGGGATGACACTTCTGAGATTAGGTTAAAAAAGACTGTGACTTCCATCTTGCTGGCTTTGGTGAACCAAGCTGCCAAGGTGGAGAGGTCCATGTGCCAAAGAACATAATATTTTAAAGACTTAACTGTAATTTATCTGTAGTAGGAAAACTTCTAACATCAGGACTCATAGGCAAGCAGGAGGAAAAACCCCCAAATGCTTGTTTAAGCCACTTCCCCCCAAAACACCCTTCACACACCACACACACACGTGCAAGGGTCTCCTAGGCACCGAGGTGTCTACATCAGCATTTCCCTCGGGCTCCCTGACATCTGTGGCCTGAGAGGACGTTTTCTAATAAGCATATTGTCCCACTTCTTGGTTGAGAGCCTCTATCATTTTGAAAAAGAAATTACAATTTGGAGGTGGGAATACAGGGGACATCTTTTAATGAACAATATACTAAATATTCCCCTGGAATACCTGTAACTGAAAAATAATTATAAGGATAAACACAATTTTTAAAGTGGCCATAATTGGAAAGTAGAATTTCAGAAGCTACTCATTTTCTTGCTTACTTACATTGTCTAATTCTTCTATAATGACCACACATTGCTTTGCATGTTTTTTATAAAAAAGAACATCCCTTTGTAAAACAAGGTATAGGAATGACACCAACATTAGTTAGAAAAGAGTATGACATTTTATTTTCACTTACGGATGGACAGTACATGAATTTAGAAATATAATCATTGCAGGGTTCTGAAATATTGATACCTTAAGATCTAACACACCAACATTAGCCCATTCACTGCAAAACAGCCACGTCAGCAGTTCAGATTTGGTCTTTGTTGTGGTCGCTGAAATAAGTTCTTAATGTGAAATGCCCAGTAGCATCTGAGTAATACATTACAGTAGACATGAACTAAGTTTCGATATTTCCTCTTTGGAACGAATTATGCTTATTTACAAGTTAAGAGTAGGTAGTTCTAATTACTTACCCTATTGTGAGTTTTAATGACTGACTTTAAGCTACAGAGGGTTTTCCAGCTATTATTTCCTTTAAAGTTTCTAAAAGCAACAACTCTTATTAATGTTTATAAAAGATAATGTTGGAAAAAAGGTAATGTTAAAATCAAGGCGCTCTTTAGAGATATTTAAGGACAGGAAAAGGTATTACCATTGAAAAAACTGTACATATTTTCAAGCACAACACAAATATTGTAGCAGTATTTAATTGAACTATTTTAAAATAGTGGCAATTATACTTCCTTACATACTTTTCTAATTTTTAAACCTCATAATTACAATTTGAATATACAGTCTGACTTATAATTAGAACTATGCACAGCTTCTAGAGTGTATTTTTTCAGATTTATTTCTTCACATAAATTAAAGTTTAAGTTGGTCCTTGATTTGGAGAGCTGTAACTACCTGGAAGCACTAAATTTTAGACTTACTGACAGCTAACAAAAACCCTTAAATAGGGAAAAGCATCGACCCTACCGTGCGTGGAAAAGCAGCTGCTGCCTCCAAGTGCAACCTCGGATTCAGCACAAGACCCGCTCAGAGGCCTGCATGTCTCCATGAAAGACCCCCAAGAAACCAAAAGGTCCAGAATGAAGGAGCTGACCAACCAAGGGCATTTTCCACACTGGGGCAATCCTGAAAACAGAGGAGGCTTTGGACCTCTAGCATAAGAGAGAGACTTCACATTCTTTGATTTCATTTACACCTTTTAAAAAAGATAAAATACACCTGAACCTTTTTCATCACACTTAAACTGCACAGCTCAAGCTGACTGAACTCATAAGGCAGCCCAACTGAAGCTCCAAAGGAACACCAGACCCCTGGTCTCCTCTTTCCTACCATGTAGTCACAGACTATTTCGTCCAACTACTTGATGTATGTAAAAGACATTTTATAAACAGAGTAGACTTAGCTTATTATTAAACTAAAGAAAAGTCCAAAGATGTATGGAAAAGTATGCTTGCTAACAGAAACTGCTTCTACAGTGACAATAAACTGAGCTAGAAAAATAATTTCACTGTTTTAAATAAGGAAAGAAGCTAGATTTTTTTAAAATATATTACTTATTCTGCAACAGCTGATTAAACTGACAATGAATAGATTCCTTCCATTCCGTGAGCTGAATTGAGGTTACATTTTAATTATAGAATAGCTTCAAATGATAACCATCCCAATAGTAAAGAGATCATCAAGGCAGTAACATCAGATCAATTCTAAGTCATCACCCCCACACAAAGCGCAAGATGTGCTTTTGGATAAAGGATTTAAAAAGACCTTGGGCTGACGTGGAAAGCGGGTCAGTAAAGACTCCAGTTCTGCATAATGGAATCTTCCAAGCCAAGCCGCTTTCCACAGACACAAATTCAGTCTATCTTTTCTTTCTGGACCAATCTGGGAGCATCAACAAAATCTTTGCCATTGTAAAGAATAATAAAAAATGTTCCAATGCTTGCAACTCCCCAGAAGAGCACATATGCCAGTGTTTCTGTCCAGGTGTCACCTGTTGATTTTAAAAACAAAGAGCTGATAAATAACAAGTCATTTTATTGATACTAGATCCAGCTTTCAGCCGTTTAGCACATCTTGACAACATTAAAGTTTACAAACACATCCAAAGGAAAAATATAAGAACCTCTCAATTAAGGTTTAAAACAGTGGTTCTCAAACTGGCTGGCAACAGAATCCGCTTCAGGGCTTGATAAAGAATCAGCTGCTGGGCTGAACCCCAGTGTCTGTCTCATTTAGCAGGCCTAGGGTGGCGTCCAAGAATCTGCATTTCTTACCAGTTTCCAGATTATGCTGATGCTATGGGTCGAGAGACCACATTTTGAGAACCGCTTGACTAAACTAATTTCAGGTTATATCAAGCAAACAGTAATTATTAGTTTTAGATTATATACTTTAATATTATAAGAAATTATTACTAATAGTTTAGTTCATAGTCCTATCTATGACAGGTATCAGCTACTACCAAAATGCTAACACAAAAAATACTGCGTTGGCCAAAAAGTTCATTCGGGTTTTTCTGTTATGGAAAATAACTTTACAAATATACATGCTTCAGAAAAGTTATGTATTAAAGTGTATAGGGGCTTCCCTCGTGGTGCAGTGGTTCAGAGTCCGCCTGCCGATGCAGGGGACACAGGTTCGTGACCCGGTCCGGGAAGATCCCACATACCGCAGAGCGGCTGGGCCCGTGAGCCATGGCCGCTGAGCCTGCGCGTCCGGAGCCTGTGCTCCGCAACGGGAGAGGCCACAACAGTGAGAGGCCAGCGTACCGCACAAAAAAACAAAAAAAAAATAAAGTATATAAAACAAAACTCAATAAATACAACATATTTAACACAACTCTCCTGAGATGCACTTTTTTTCAAAGTCTAGAGTACATGAAGGAAGCAGCAGGCCAATGGGAAAAGGTCTATTTTGTTCAACTCCTTGAACAGGTGAACCCAGTGTTGCTTCTCTCCTGCAATAGTACTGGCCTCACCTGCTGACAGGGAAACATGCAGAGGTCAACAGCCAGTTAAGAGGGCACGCCAGAAAGGAAATCAGGGTGTAGACACTTTCCTAATAAGCTGTCAGAGAACATGCTTGCATTTATTTGCTATTCTCTTAAATACCAAAGTAGGGGCTAGAAATCAGACACTGTCATATCTAAACACCACAAAGATCATTACTTTACAACAATTAACTGACATGAGATGTTATTAACCACAGCATCCAGTATCTTTTCACTTGAAAACATTCAAATTTCCACAATTGCTAATTTTGACAGTTCTGGGTTTTAAAACTCTTTTTGGATAAAGAAAAAAGCAGTTCCTCACAAGCCCACTCTGGGACACTCCCCAAAGGAATGGTCCATTTGTTCAGGCTGAGTCTTGGTCTTGATCTCCCTGCCTTTCCAGAGGTTCCACAGGGAAATGTAAGTATATAAAAAGACCAAAATAACAAAACTAATTCAGCAGTGGAGTGGTTCCCAGAAAATGGCATCCAATGGGCAATGTTTTAAAGAGAGAAGTCAAAGGATCTAGGGTGTGAACTGAACCGTGAGCAGCACATGCCAGCTGGTCCTGTCCTCTTCCTTCCTGCCCCAAATGTGACACAGACCCCCTAGTCATGCCGCACAGTGATGCTGTACTTGAGAGTCCTCGGCTTGTTTTTGCACTGTGATGGTTTTTACATTTTTAAAGAACTGTAAAAACAAACTGTGCAAACAGAGACCGTATATAGTTTACAAAATCTAAAATATTTATTATCTGACTCTTCAGAAAACGTCTGCTAACCCCTGCCCTAGAGTAACAAGAAGACAGCTCCTCCCTGTGTCATGACTACCTACACTGCTGAACACTGAGGGGATTACAGAGATGAACAGGTTCTGAGCCTCCCCCAAGAAGCTGGCAGAATTAGTGTGGGGTGTGGGGGGCGAGGAGTCCTTAATTCAGCAAAGTTTTACGGAGGGCAAAACTGTATCCCAGACACAGGAGGTAAAACAATGAGTAAGACACCATCTCTGCCTTCAAAAAGTTGCTGATTCAGTGAGAAAGACGAATGAGTACGCAAATCACTACCACACAAACAGAAATACACCTTGGGTGCATTCAGGACCCCAAAGAGTACAGCGCCTCTGAAGAAGAAATCCCTAGGTGCTTACAAGGTTAAAAGAAGAAAGTGCTATAAGAGAGGTACACAAAATGCTGTGGAAATCAGAAAGGGGGAGATGAGGTCTGTGTGGGAGAACAGAGAGACACTTCATGAGAGGAGAGCCTGAGGATGGCAGAAGTCAGCCAGGCAGAGAAATGTCAGCCCAGCGAATTCAGGATAGAGGATGTGACTGGAGGTGCCTAAGGCTGCACCTCGAGGCACAATGCAACGTGTTACAGACTCAAACTCCCAGAGCACTGAACACTGCTTAACATGCATTTAAGATGAAAATGTCTCCATTAACTTAGTAACACAGAAAAACATTGAGAGAGAAAAGAAAACCAATAAAGACTTTGTTAGCTCAGGTTCTTAGGCAATTTCGCTATTAAAATTTAAGAAGTAATGTATTCATCTATAATAACATTTATTCGTCCAACATAGGTGGTTGGTTAAATAAATTATACATCCATTAATGGAATACTGTGCAGCCATTAAAAATAAAGAACGCGGGGAAATATTTATATTGCTCAGTGAAAAAACAGATTACAAAAAAATTTGTATCTCACTTTTGAAAAAAAGAATACACACTTATAGAGATTAAAACATCAAAATGTTAAGAGTAATTAGCTTATCTCTGAAAGGCAAGAGGATAAATAACATTATCTTCTTTTTTGCCCAACTGTATTTTCTGTAATTACTATGTATTACTTTGATAGCAAGAAAAAAATATTTTAAAAAGCTTAAGTGGAAAAAAAAAAAGTATCAAGCTACTGAGTATACATTTTTCCTTCTGTCACATCTAAGGACTAATCCTCCCACCTGCCCACTTAACTCATTCAATTCAATAGGGAAACATCAAGTACTGAATAGGCGCAAACTTAAGACGCTGTACAGGAAAGTTCAACATTCTAAGAAATGACTGTAAGAATGTGAAACAAGGGCAGACTTACCAGCCATAAGCAAACAGATAATGCACATGGAAAAGGCGACAACCATGATAATAGGCAACTGGAAAAGAAAACGGAAAGAGAAACCATCACATAAGATGCTAATCAATGGTTGTACAATCAGTTATGCATGCTTTGCTTTAAAGAGAATAAAACCCTTCTGCAATCTAATATACAAAGTATCTTTCTTTCAGCAAAACACCATTATTTAGAGTTTAGATCATAACTGCCCAAATCTTCGAACAGGTTAAAAGATCTGAAAAAACATGGCTTTGCTCCAAACCAGGGAGTGCTAAGCAGAGGGAGGTCGCCCAGATGAGAACCCAGACACCAGGCCCCTCCACTCCAGGACACCCTGCCCACTGGAATGAGACCCCAGAGAGGCTCTTGAAAAGTCTTGTGAACAGAGGAGTCAACTTCAAGGTCACAAGTTTGCCTCTGGCAATCCCTGAACCTCAGGGGAGTAGTCTCCAGAAATGAGAAGCCCTCACACTCCCCATGCGTCTGTGTTCTCACTTAAAAAGGATCTGCCAAAGACAGTCAAGTTTGAAAGAAGACAAACATTCCAAAGTTATTTTACTCCTCTCCCTGATCTGCTCCTTGGGGACACTTAAATATTTATGTTCCATTTAGAACAACATACAATGTTTTATATCAAGGGGAGTTGGCACCATCTCTAACTTCAGACACAATGCTTTTAACAACTTGAAAAACATAAACGTTTCTTACAGCCAGGAATTTCAAATCCCTTGGAACACTTAAAGGACTATGAGATTCTAATTCATCCACTGAATAGTTCCCAAGAAATAAGTCTATGGAATCCTAGAAGAGAAAAAAAGGAAATTAGTAACTCCCAAATTAGGTATGATTATATTACAGAAGAACAGTACAAAGATACAGCCACCTAATGACCAAAAATTAGCATCAAATAACAAACTTACTTGTCTAAATCCATCAGAAAAGTTGTTCTTGTAATACCGTATCAGTGAGTTCCAGCCATCCATTATAAGTCCCAACTGAGTTCTCTTCCCAGTTCTGGTTAAATATGAGGTTAAGTTTTGAGTTACAGATTTGCATTCATATGCAATTATGCATTAATGCAATTATGCATTAGTATGCAAAAATATAAAATTCTCACACTGTTTTACAGCCAATAAGTATGTGGTATGGAGATAGGTGAATTATAAAGATTTTTTTTAAAAACATCCCTGAATATATGAAGGAGACACCTCACAAAAGAAACCAATATCGGGTCCAAGAAATGTGTATCCTATTTCTAAAATATTACCAAAGTAGGCACAAAGAGGAAAAATGCTCAGTTCCACTTGCAAAGACAAGAAATAAGAAGAGAAACACACAGCCCAGGTTAAGTGGCATGAAACAGCAAAGAGACTGGAAAGCTTATCTTGCTCCCAGGGAATCCATATAGCAGAAAAAGACCCAACCACATGTGTAACAAATTCAAAACATTCTAACCTCTCACTACCCAGTGTGGTCCTTGAAAACAGCACCAGCACCACCTGGGTACAGAATCTCAGGCCCTGCCCCAGACCTGCTGAGTGGGACTGGGGTGAGTCAGGTGCACAGTAAGCTTTGAGAAAAGCTAAGGAGCCATGGTTCTCAACCCCCACTGTGCATCAGAATCACCCAGAGATGCTAAGAAGACACCAGTGCCTGGGCCCCATCTCCCTGCAGTCCTGACTTGACCGGTCTGAAATGAGGCCCAGGCACTGGTGGTTTGCTGTTGCTATTGTCTAAAAGTTGCCCAAGTGATCTACTATGCACCAGAACTGTGAACCACTGGTCTGGAATGGGATTTTAAAGCATGGCTTGCCTGGTAAAGTCAGTCTTCAAGGCACCAGTTCCCGCATACTGTTTGGCACAAGCATTTGCATTGTCAGCCCAGGCTGCGAGAAAAAGTAAAAATCAGCTGATAATGATTAAAATAACAACCAATGCTCTAAATCCAAATTATTTATTTCAAACTTTGAGTAACCTTGCCTCTGTTAAAGAAATTACCTACCGTTTTTGTAAATCTTCTCAAATTCATCTTGTTCTTCAAGCTTTTGTCCCACATGCAAAACTCCTAGTCTCTGGAATAAGAATCATACCTATGTTTATGTATAACAGATTTCAGCACATATGACTTAGGAAGAAAAAGCAGAGTCCCCAGATCATCTGTCACCTGGCTGTAGGTGGGAGATGCTTTCCCTGTACATGGGGACCACAGCACTCTCCCGCTCAGGCCAGGCTGCAAAAGCCTCTCTTTGGGCTTCCTTCTGCCCATAGCCCCCACTCTCCCTTGAGCCCCAGCACCGCAGGAACAGTGGCAAGACTGTAAACTCAGAGACCGGGGCAGAAGGGAAAGGACGGGGGAGAGGGAAGGCTGCTGCAGGATTCCAGCCATTACTACCTCCTTTCCTGCCACCCCCAACCTTCCACTGACTTTACCCCTCTACCTCCTCACAATTCACCATCTCCAGACTTCTGACCTCCAAACTTATCCCCTAACCCTGGGACCCTTTGAGAACTGGGATGAATACTACCTACCTACCTCCCCACAAACAGCCCTTTGCATATCATCTCAGAGGACTCCTGGGCATCCTAAAGCTCTCTATGGACTCCCCACTGGAGTTCACTGACCACAGATTAGGAACTCCTGCCTTGGTCTTTGTCTCAGACCCGCTACCCTATTAGAACCACCATCTTCACTGCTCAGCTCAAATGACATCTCGCTCTCTCTCCCTCAGAATGGGGCCTACCCATGCTCAATGACCTGCCCTCACTGGAAGGGGAAAGGCACAACTGGAGTCCCCACATTAGCTGGCATTGAGGCTAGAGAGGTTCCTGCCCAAAGACTCTCTGAAGGTTGGTTAGGTTTTATAATACTATTTTCAGCGTGTAAATTAGTTAAATACAGATTACAAAACCTAGTTAAATAGAGTTCTGTTAATCAGCCTTGGAAACAACCATTCCTAATATTGTTTCTATTGAAAAATATATTCTGAAGTACAATAAATCCAACAGACTGACAAGGACACAGTACCATACAAGCTAGAGAATGCTCAAAGAGGGCAACCACTCCTTTGGTATGTCCTACTTGAGGATTTGGGGAGGTATTTTCCCTCCATAATTCTGCCCTGAGTCCCATAAAATTGTCACAAACAAAGTTGAATGTTTACGAATTATTTAGGCAGGAAACCACTTGGGATGCATTTTGTTTGCTCCCTACATCAAATGCCAATGTGATCTGGAAATCTGGGATATACATATTTTTAATTCCAAATATAAAGAGAAGAAAATATTTATACCTATTCTTTCTCAACAACACAGTCTTACTGGTAAAGCAAAGCTGTGTCAGAAACTTTATACCTGGGAGTTAATATCCCTTGCCAAACAATAAAAGAGGTGCAAACGAAAACAACTTTTGAGGTACTATTCTGTACTATTAAAGAAGAAATAAAACCTTTCTAAATAAAAATATTTAATGCTGGCAAGATTCACTTTTCACTGCTGGCTAGCCTTAGGGGTAACTGGTATAACCCTCTTGGAAAGTATATATTCTCTTTAACCCAGGAGTTAACCCAAAGGAAATAATTCAAGCTAATAATAATATACATAGGTATATTCTCTATAGCCTTATTTATAAGCCAAAAATATAGAAACCTAAATGGCTTAGTAAATTATAGCACAACAATGCACCTCTTAAAAACTATGATCATGGGCTTCCCTGGTGGCGCAGTGGTTGAGGGTCCACCTGCCGATGCAGGGGACACGGGTTCGTGGCCCGGTCCGGGAGGAACCCACGTGCCGTGGAGCGGCTGGGCCTGTGAGCTGTGGCCGCTGGGCCTGCGCGTCCGGAGCCTGTGCTCCGTGGCGGGAGAGGCCACAGCAGTGAGAGGCCCACGGACCGCAAAAAAAAAAAAAAAAAAACTATGATCACATATAATGCTAGAGCAAAAAGGCAAAATTTAAAACTGTACATACACTGACCATGGTTATGGACAAAGTGTACATCCATGGATGGCAAGACACAAAACCAAAAAGAACTGGGTTAGGACGGGGGCATGTGAATGTTTCTTGTTATTGGTTTTTAAAGATGAAGTTTCTTTTTTGCTATATTGTTTATCTAATAAAAGAAAAAAAGCATTTGTACCTGAAGCTGGGCCTGAAGCGAACGACGAGCTAACAGACTCTGGATCACATTAGTTCTGTCCAGACAATCCATGCAATTGCTGCGGAACACGCCTTCCTGGTTAGTCACCACCTTGCCATCAGAGTCCACTAGAAAATAACTAAAACATATTTATATAAACACTCTCATACCAAAGTCAGCCAAGCCTACTAAGGACAGACCTCTTATAACACAGGTCCATGTCAGAGACATTATTAAAACTGAATTAAACCTAAATTAAAAGGCCACATGGGAAATGTACAGTTCAGGTATATTTGATTACCAAAGACCAAAAGGAAGTTTTAACAGAAGAGGCAAGACAGCCCCTATCTCAAAACAACTGTAGCATCAAGGTCACTTCACCCAAGAGATGTGAAAAGGGACAGTTGGGAGTATTGTAAAGATGGCTATGGTCATCACCGTGTTTCCCTAAGGCCAGAAGAGGTCTTCCTTTGACATAATTATTGCACCTATGCCCCCTACGTCGGGATTTCTTGAAGCACAGTCCCCTGTGCTATCTGTATCAGAATTCCCTGAGATGTTTGTTATAATGAGGATGCTTGGCCTTGAAATAAACTGAGTAAGACTCTCTGAAGCAAGGGCTGGATATTGTGCATTAAAAATATTTAAAAATCCCTTCTTAAAATGGGTAATAGGGCTTCCCTGGTGGTGCAGTGGTTAAGAATGCCAATGTAGGGGACACAGGTTCGTGCCTTGGTCCGGGAAGATCCCACATGCTGCGGAGCAACTAAGCCCGGGAGCCACAACTACTGAGCCTGCGCTCTAGAGCCCATGAGCCACAACTACTGAAGTCCGCGTGCCTACAGCTCGCGCTGCACAAGAGAAGCCACCGTGATGAGACCATGCACTGCAACGAAGAGTAGCCCCCGCTCACTGCAACTGGAAAAGCCCATGTACAGCAATGAAGACTCAACGCAGCCAAAAATAAAATAAATAGATAAATGAATTAATTTAAAAAAGAAGGGTAATATATGCAAATAGTACTAAATTTATAAGGTATAATAGGGTATTATTTGAAAAATCCATTTTCCTTTCTCCCCTGAACCACCCAGATATCTGCACTGCAGCCAACCATGGTTACCAGTTCCTGTGTTTCTGTCATTTTTAACAATCTGTTCAGATTATTCTATGAACTCAAAAATTTGACAATGTTGACACAGTGTGGCAGTAAAGAGCATGGACTTTGGCAGCAAACAACTGGTTTGCTACCCTTAGCTCCTCAGGCAAGTTACTAGCTGTGTAACTTTAAGTAATTAACCTAATCTCTCAGAGCCTAAATTTTTTTCACCCACGAAATGGAGATGACAGCATCACCATTAGGCCGCTCTTAGGTTGAAATGAGATAACGTAAAATGCATATAAAGTGCTTAGCCAGAGTGTATGGGACAGAGAATACAATGAATACTAGATAATATTAATTTTATTGCAATTACTCCCCAAAATCAAAAAGTGAGGGAGAAACACAATAGATTCACCAAGGGCTAAGAATCATGACCTTAAAATTAAGGGCTTAAGGGACTTCCCTGGCAGTCCAGTGGTTAAGACTCCGTGCTTCTAATACAGGGGGCATGGGTTCGATCCCTGGTCAGGGAACTAAGTTCCCACATGCCGTGAGGTGTGGCAGAGAAAAAAAAAAAAGGCTTATAAGAATGTGTTTAGACTAAAACTCTACATGAGGTTCATGCCAAACTGGTGAAGTTCGATTAGACTATGTATATATAGAGTGCATGTGAGTGTTGGCACCCCATTAGTACTTATAAACTAAATACTACATGTTTTATAAATATTATTTCTTAAACTATACAAGTCTAAGAGATAAGTATTATTATCTTCACTTTACAGATGGAGAAATCAAGATTTGAAGATAACTAACTTGCTCCTTGGTCACATGGCTAATACGAGGCAAACTGAGATTTCAAACTTATTGTGTAGGACCCCAAAGCCCAGATTCTTTCTACTTCCCCCAAAATCCCTGGAAACAAATGTGCAGAGAGGTCATCTGAAAGTCACAGGTGAAACGTCTACTGTCCCTGTGGAACATAGTGAGAGCAAGGGACAAAGATTCTGGTGTCAATGCTCCCTTCTTTCTTACACTCTGTGGGGCAATAATTAACAGATAAACCCAAGGAAGTAACCCCTCTGACAAGGTTTCTCTACCCCAATAATCATATAGGTCAACCCCCCTTCACTAGCTATGCTCAAAACAAAACCTCATAGAAGAGAAAAAAAAAAAAGCAGATTTAATTAACTATAGCTGATGACAATATGTATAAAAATATTTTTTTAAAAGCTGAGCAGGTCTTCCCTGGTGGCGCAGTGGTTGACAGTCCGCCTGCCGATGCAGGGGACACGGGTTCGTGCCCCGATCCGGGAAGATCCCACATGCCACGGAGTGGCTGGGCCCGTGAGCCGTGGCCGCTAAGCCTGCGCGTCCGCAGCCTGTGCTCCGCAACAGGAGAGGCCACAACAGTGAGAGGCCCGCATACCGCAAAAAAAAAAAAAAAAAAAAAAAAAGGTGAGCAAATGTCTACAGAAGTTTTACTATGTTACTGTGTAACTGAAATTACACAGTGCATTAGAACTACACAGGCAGAACAAAATGAGACTGGTTTCCAGATTCCTACTTCTGGCCTTAAAAATAGGTAAAGACTGACATGTGCATAGAGTACAGCGAATATATGAACCCACACAGTAAGTAACACTGTAAACACATATGAGAAGTACCATGAAGATATTCAGACCCTTTGATCCATTATCCTACCCTCAAGAATTTATTTCAGGAAACAGTTTAACAGAAGTAAAAATATATTTATACCCAGAGTGATTCACTGCAGCACAATCTCTCATGGTAGAGAAAAGGAAACAAACCAGATGCCCGATGCAAAGAAAAGCATTTAACTGAAACTGTACTATGACAAAATGGAACACAGAAAAGCCATTAAATGCTATCATTACAAAGACCTGGTAGGCTAATGACAAAATGTGATAAAATGTTTAGTGAAAATAACTGAACATAAAACAGTAGCAAACTAACTTCAATTATATAAAAATTTGTAAATGCGTAGAATACAGAAAAACATGAAAATACCTGGACTTGGGTCATTTTTAAGAATTTTTAAATATTTAAAAATTACCAAGTCTCATCTTTCAGGGGAAAAAAAAAACTACAAATGAGGGTATAGACAAGTGCTATCAACCTAGTGAACTATATCTGTAAGTCTGTTAGATAATGCATAATATACATGATTAACATATGCACCTACCTCATCCCTCAACCTCTGTAGGGAAATAACATAGCTTACCTTAATTCATCTTGCATTTCTGCTACTTGATCCAATAAAATACTTAGTCGATCCCATCTCATATTTTTACATTCCTTATGGAAGTCAAAGGCAATATATCTACCAAAAGAAAAGATATTCAGAAAGTGACTAAAGATTATTCATTTTCTTTCTGTTAATAATACCTTCATAAGCTGATCCTCCTCTCTACATACACATCGCCTGGGAACAGTAGAGCCTCCTTCACTCTGGGTTTACCACTATACATATACACATGCATGCAGGCATGCACAGACACACCCACCTTCTCATGCTCATATCTACTGAAGGAAAAAAATACACACACACTCTCTTCTATCTTCACATGTTTTTCTAGAGGCCCTGAGATAGGAGTAAAGAAGCCCAGCGAAATGCTACAGAAGTGAGCTCAGGAACAGCAATCAGGCATGTTAATATAAAGTAGCCTTGTCCAACTGAATATCTACTGTATATTTATTCTCTACCCCCATGTGCAAAGAATAGGGTCTTTTTTTGATTTTCAAATCAATTAAGATGTTCAAAATGGTCAAATGCGATTCAGTCCAAGGAGGACTGGACTGCCTGTTGTGTATTAGAGGCTGTGAGAAGAACAGAAGCAGGATGGTCCCCATTCTGGTTAGTTACTGTTCATCCTACCAAAATATTCATTATCACTATCCATACATCACACATACATGTGGTAGAGAGAATTTTCTTGTCCATCAATCTGTAATGGGCTGTTTTCAGTTATCTAATATTTAAGAGGTATAAATCTCAAAGTTAGAACATATCTAACAGTGAAGGTGCCCTACTATGAGCTGGAAAATGTTGCCCCTGCCCCTTGAGAGGGGGAAACATCATTAACCAACTCCCGAAAGTCAAGAGAGGAAGAAAGAATGAAGAGAACCTGGGCACCAGGGTACATGAAGATTCTCACACATTCCACTTCTACCCAACTTCCTATTCAGGGATCAAGTCAAGTCATAAAGGAGGAGGGCTAGAAGAACATTACACTCTCATCTACAGAGTTAAATTCAGATTAGGTGTCTGCTCTCATGGAGCCTTGGCTCCAATGGCCGAAGGGACATCAATGTAGGGAGGGCTTCCAGCAGGTCAAGAGAGGGGCTTTTATCACCTCAATGGTTATCTCAGGGGACAATGGGGTACTTAGAAATTAGTATAAAAACAGAAGTTAGCCAACTGTGACGCCAGACTTTGGGAAGACTGGGAGTGGGGGGAAGCATTTTCAAAGGCAGCTCCATTAGAAGTGGTGGGGTGATAGTTATTTTTGGAGTGCTCTGACCATAGCTCTAGACTTGCCTGAAAAATTTAAGTGGCTCACTAGCACATAAATGCACTTGGATTCTTAAGCTTGTATCCTTCTAAAATTACATTTGTATCTTCTAAGAATGTCTTACATCACTATATTTTGGTAACAATAGCTTTAGGGTGTTTATTCCTTAGCAGTATGTAACCTCCAAGTTCCCTGGAACACCAAGGGCATAACTTTAGACTCTGACTTATGCCTCAAGTTCTCAAAGTTAGCTGCTGCTACAAGCACTAGAGGCAACTCTGGAGATGAGTATACCTACAGAAACCCTCTGAAGCACAGACAGGGGCTTAACCAGGGGTGTACAAAGGAGGCAGCAGATAGACTTTTTCCAGAATAGACATGTTGGACTCTAAACCCAGTGATGCTGATTTTTCAGGTCTTAGGTATATTCTGAGTAATTCCTCTGAGGATTTTGAGGCACATCCTGGATAGGAATCACTTCTCTGACTCATCCAAGTGTGTTTGGGCAGGTTCCACTATGAGAAGGCAGAAATGGGCATGGAGTAAGGGTCTGATAAATTTGCTAGAGTTTTTGAGTTGGACAATAGGCTTAAATTCTTCCTCAAAGGTTCATTATATCATTCTATTTTTGTGTATGTCTAAAAATTTCCAGAGGTTAAAAAAATTCTCCCCAAATAACCGAGTACCATTTCTTTTAAAGTCTTCCCCCAATGCCTGTGACCACTTCCTACCACAGTATACCCCCACCTCCTACCCCGGTTTCCTAATGCAGAAGCTCCAAAAGGGCTGACTCATTACCCTGCACATTTCCACAGGGCAACTGTTTATGTTTTAGGATCCCCCCTCTTTTGACAAGGGCACACAGAATTTGTAACTATTGCCTGCTGCCTTACAGGAGGGCAAGCTGCTGCTCCAGACAAGGCCGCCATGCAACAGTAAATTGCTCCAGCTCGTGTGGAGGTCAGGACCAGGCAGACCACACCAAACAAGCATGAGTAACTGAAATTCAAGACCCAATGGGCAGAGCGACACAAAGCCTCAAGGAGAGGATTTTAATCAAGGGCTAAACTTTTACAAAATTCAAATTAAAATTCAACTGTTAAGAAGTTATTCTGCAACATGAATTATGCCAGAGAAAATTTCAAGCTAACAAAATCATGCTTTGAAAACAACAAACTGAAATACATCTAGAGAGATCTATGTACTTACGTATATATGCACTGCACATCTACTGTGAAAATACCTACAACAGATTTCTAGTGAGGTACCTGATCATTCCATTTGCCAAGGAAGACACCATTGTTGCAAACGCCTGTTCAAGTGGCTTCTCTGAGCCCTTCTGATTAACCTGTAAAAAATTAAAAACACCACAGCCTGCTTTTTAAAAAAATATTTGTTTGTTTATTTATTTATTTATTTATGGCTGTGTTGGGTCTTCATTGCTGCACGCAGGCTTTCTCTAGCTGCAGCGAGCAGGGGCTAGTCTTCATTACAATGCGCGGGCTTCTCGTTGAGGTGGCTTCTCTTGTTGTGGAGCACGGGCTCTAGGCACCTGGGCTTCAGTAGCTGTGGCTCGCGGGCTCTAGAGCACAGGCTCAGTAGTTGTGGCACACGGGCTTAGTTGCTCCGCGGCATATGGGATCGTCCCGGACCAGGGCTCAAACCCATGTCCCCTGCATTGGCAGGCAGATTCTTAACCACTGTGCCACCAGGGAAGTCCCACCATAGCTTTCTTTTAAGTTTAATTAGAAGGACAGAGTGACATCAGCAAAATGGCAGACTAGGAAGCTTTAAGCTCTTATACCCTCACAAAAACATCAGAAAAAAGAGAAGCTGTCTAAGCCAACTTCGTAGGAGCTCTAGAAAAGTCAAAGGTTTATAGCAACCAGACAAATGTCCAATCAAGATAAAGCCATCCTCAAAATAGTAGGACAATTCTGTAGCACTTTTCTTGCCCTTATCTCATCCTTTCCCCAGTGCAATGACGATCTTAGCTTAAGCAGCAGCAACACAGTTCTCAGCCCCCCTCCACAAATCGGAGCAGACCAGACCTTATTTGCACACTGCTCATATAAGCTACAAGAGGACTATAAACCAAGACGCCTAGGGCAAGATATTTCAGGTGGAGACATAAAATAGACCATCTAAAGCCTGCAGAAGCAGCTGGGGTGACACTCTTTGAGAAATTAGGATACTCAAAAGCAGCCATGTATACGGAGAGTTTTAGACAGCCGTATGCATACCCAAGCAAGATGCATGCTCAGAAAAGTCCTGAAAAGACCTTAAGCCTTCACCTCAGGCTAATCCCTACGTTCAGAGCAAGCCTAACTAAATAAGCGAAGGACTGCTCCAACACAGAAGCAGTCTGCAGAGATTAGGAGAATGGGGTTGTTCTCTCTTTTTTGTTTTTTCCTTTTGTCTATTTCAGTTCCTTGTATTCAAGGAAATTTCTGTCAAAACATTAGCTGAAAACAAGCTAAAAGAACGGAGACTTCAGTGAGCATACATAACAAGGAACAGTCTTTGCAAAAATAGTTTGGAAAAGTCTCAAAACAAATAGATTACTACAGCATTCAATAATCAAAACAAAAACAAAATAAAACAATAGCAAACCCCTGAGAAAGAAGAATCTAACTTCCAGAGTTACTACATTATAAACATCCAATACCCAGTTTTCAAGAACAACAACAAAATCATAAGGCATACAAAAAAACACAGGAAAACAAGGCTTAGCTTATTCAATGGAAAAGGATAAATTGATAGAAACCATCCCTGCAGAAGCCTTATTTATAAAAAGCTTTCAGGGAATTCCCTGGTGGTCCAGTGGTTAGGACTTGGCGCAGCCTGGGTTCCATCCCTCGTTGGGGAACTAAGATCCTGAAGGCCGTATGGCGTGGCTAAATTAAAAAAAAATAATAAATAGGACTTCCCTGGTGACGCAGTGGTTAAGAATCCGCCTGCCAATGCAGGGGACACGGGTTCGAGCCCTGGTCCAGGAAGATCCCACATGCCTTGGAGCAACTAAGCCCATGCGCCACAACTACTGAGCCTGTGCTCTAGAGCCCTCGAGTCACAACTACTGAGCCTGCGTGCCTAGAGCCCACGCTCTACAACAAGAAAAGCCACTACAGTGAGAAGCCCATGCACCACAATGAAGAGCAGCTCCCGCTCGCTGCAACTAAAGAAAGCCGGCACCCAGCAACAAAGTCCCAATGCAGCCAAAAATAAATAAATAAATAAATGTTTCAAAATTTTTAAATAAATAAATAAATAACAAAAAGCTTTCACAATAACTGTCTTAAATACGCTCAGAGCTAAAAGAAAGCATGGACGAAGAACTAAAGGAAATCAGGAAAACCATATATGAAAAAAATAAGAATATCAACAAAGAAACAAAGTATTCAAAGGAACCACACAGTAAGTCTGGAGCTGAGAAGTACAAAATGGAAATTAAAAATTCACTAGAGGAGTTCAACAGCACATTTGAGCAGGAAGAAAGAAGAATCAGCAAGCTTGTATAGGACAAAAGAAATAATCAAGTTGAAGCAGCAGAAAGAAAAAAGAATCGGAAAATTGAATGGAGCCTGGGGAACTTCTGGGATACCATCTAACAGACAACATATTCATTATGGGAGTCCCAGAAAGACAAGAGAGAGAAAGGGGCAGAGAGATTATTTAAAGAGAAAATGTCAAAAAACCTTCCCAAATTTGATGAACGATATAGATCTTCAAATCCAAGAAGTGCCCAATCCCCAGATACGACGAACCCAAGGAAACACACCAAACACATTATAATCAAACTACTTAATGACAAAGAGAGGATCTTGAAAGCAGCAAGAGAGAAAGGACTCATCACATACAAGGGATTCTGAATAGAATTATATGCCAATTTCTCTTCAGAAACCTTGGAGGCTAGAAGGCAATGGGATGATATATTTAAAGTACTGAAAGAAAAGAACTGTCAACCAGTAATTCTATATCTGGCAAAACTGTCCTTCAAAAATGAGACAGAAATTAAGACATTCTTGGATAAACAAAAGTTAAGGGAGTTCATTATCCCTAGACCTGCCCTACCAGAAATGCTACAGAGAGTTCTTCAAGTTAAAATGAAAGGACACTACAAAGTAACTTGGAGCCACACAAACAAAAACATTCTGCTAAGGGAAATAAGATGCAAAGGAACAAATATTACACAATACAATTTATATGGGATACCCAGAATAGACAAATTTATAGAGACAGAAAGTAGAATGGAGTTACCAGGGGCTGAGGTAAGAGGGATAATAGGAAGTTACTGTTTAATGGATACTGAGTTTCTGTCTGGTATGACGAAAAGTTCTGGAAATGGTCAGTGGTGACAGTTGCACAACACTGTAAAATATTTAATGCCACTGAGTTGCACACTTAAAAATGTTAAAATGATAAATTTTGTTAAAAAAAAAGGATGCTAAGGTTTTATTCCCCCCAAAATGTAAGAAACATACCAGATTGATTATGACTTGTTTTCCATAAATAATTATTTGTGAATCAAAATGCCTCTGGAAACCATCCATCTAGAGAGGGGGAAAAAAAGAGTTATATACTTTACCAGATTACATTATAAGAATACTTATAAGATGTTAAAAAGTGTCTCCTTAAATGTCCTATCTCTATATTCAAAAGAATGACATTAAGATGGACTATGTCTTCTAGATATTCTAAATACCATGTAGTGAGTAGTAACTATAAGCCATTCTACTCTGAGCTACAATATTACTATTTTATTTCTGAGCATGTCAAACAGAATACACTAAATATTCTAAACAGTGTAAGACTGAAAATCTTACTGAGATCTCTAAAATCTAAATTTACCGTGTCAGTTTGTTTTTCCACATTTCTAACATGCCACATACACAGCCCTTTGGTTTATAAGCTCGCTAAGTGCCAGAACCAAGGAGAAAGGCCTCAAAGATGTTGAAGTCTGACTTATAAGAAATAAATACATGCTCTATACGCAAACTATAATGCCACTAAGCTTCTATTTATAGCCAATGAAAAAAGCATGGAAGATACACACATGATTTGCTACTTTGTTGATCAGTGGCAGTGGTTTGTACTTGAGATTTGGTCTTTGAGACCAGTAAAGTGGTATTGATCCTCGAGTCTAAAAGAAAAGAAAAGATATGTAAAAAGAAACATACGCACAAACTTGTTTTTCTCACCTTATTGTCAGCGGTATATACAATATCAATGACCGCAAAAGAAAAAATAAAAAAGCAATCTACTAACTATGAAAGAAATCCATGCATACTGGCTCCTAAAATTCGTATTTTGGGGCATGCATTTGGAAAGGACTTTTTCTGATTTTATATACATGCACTTGTGTAGTAGACAGTTGTGTTTCTCCTAAATTCTAAAATAAATCAATTTTTATCTACAAGTAAAAATTACCAAGTTACATCTGGTATATAATTTGGCATTATAATAAAACTAGAAATTGCTTTATTCATTCTCAAAAGCATATGTTTATGAACTTAAAAATATTTTTAGCCATTAATACTCCGGAGCAGTAAGTGATCCACAACCCAGATATTATGTCACAATGAATGCAAGGCAGGTAAAGTCAGTCATAAGCCAGCTGCTTGTCCTGTCATCACTGCCCTGAAGAAGTCTAAGGGGTTAAGCAGACCAGTGGCTCCATTTCCATAACCCTTGCACCTCCTACCCTACCCTCTCCTTTAGGGATTTAATTCAAGGGCAGAAAACGTCGGCAACTGAGTGCCAGGTATTAATGGAATATCCTTGTTTGGGGTGAACTCTTTCCATATTGTAGACAATGATATTACTTTAAAAAGAGAGAAATTTCAACAATATGTCAGGAAATTACAATCCAAGTAGAAGAGACCAACTGGCTGGCTGCCTAACAGACACGTTAACTTGCCTGTACAAATGAAGCTCTGCTCCCATTGTAGTGCACAATTTGTTCTGTTTCTACAAAGTTAGCTGCATGGCCTTCAGAATCAATTCCTGAATTGGAAAAAAATTAACTATATTTATTACATAAGAAAAACATCAGAAACTCACTAATTCACTCTAACTTGAAGAGAATTAAGTCAGTTCAAATTAGTGGAAAAGTACTTATAAAACTAAATTTCAAACAAATGCATAGTCCACCATCAGAAAGCTCACAAAGCTCACTCACTTAAACAGGCTTAAAGGTAGTATTAACGACCTAGTAACAAACAAGTAACGTTGGCTGCTGTTTAATATGTCAATTGTTTATATACACAATCCCTCTAAAACAGTGTTTCTCAAAACAAGTTCTCAAAAACCTCTGACAGTATACCCATAGATCCCAATTTTGGAAGTTAAAACCATTAAACACAATATTAAATGCAAATGTGGGCCATTACGTTAACAGTATTTTGTTATAACGATGCAAATGGTCCAGCAGATGCGTATAATTTTAATTACCAAAATGAAAGCACAAAAACTCTATATGATCCTACAATTTCTACAACTCCATGAATATACCCAAAAGAACTAATTTGAAAAGCACTGCTCTTAAATATTTAGCCTTGATTTGGTTCGTTCTTTCAAATGTTTGAAGCATTACCTTACTATCTTGTTTACATAAGAAAAGCTTGCTAAGCAAAGGCAACTTTCAAGCGAGTCCCTGACTCAATTAGGACAAAAAAAAAAAAAAAACCCAACAGATTTTTAACGATCTCAAATATTTCTTAACATTCTTTCTATCTGACGTACTTCTAAAACATATAACATCAGTGTTTCTGTTAACATATTAACAGAAGGGAAAAAAAATATAGTCAAATCAGCAATAAAATGCCTTCTCAGTACGTTCTAAAATTACTTGTCAGAAGCATGGGCTATACTTGGTTCTGTCCAGAATTCCCATTAAGGAATAATATTTTATTATTTTAAATAAATAAAATATTTTAGTTATTTTAAAAAGTGAGATTGAGAATAAGAGTGAGATTGTGTGTGTGTGAGAGCGAGTGAGTGTACGAGACATCTTTATGAAGCGATTTCCAATATATATTAAGTTAAAAAAAACCCAAGGTGCAAGAAAATGTACACAGTATACAACCACTGTCTGCAAAAGAAGGAGAACATACTTGGAATAGCATAAAAATTATCTGAAGGATAAGTAAACTAACAACAGATCAGCTGGTCGGGAGGTTAAGATGCAGCAGATGAAGTCAGAAATGAGAAATATTTTTTAACTGCATATCTTTTTATACCTTTGATGCCTGATCTATGTGACTGCATTACCAATTCAAAACTTTTAATTAAAAAATATGACTCCATCCAAGAAAATCCAGATACAAGGGCATTGCTAACTCTAATCCTGGTTGTGTGATCTTGGCCAGGTCACTAACTAAATGTCTTTCTTCCTCTGCTATATCACCTATACTAAAGGAGATTAACCAAATGACTTTTACAACTTCCTGGCCCAAAACTTCTATGATTTACCTAAGGGTCCATAGGATTCTATTCTGATATACTCTGGCTTAAAAAAAAAAAACAGAGTTCGGGAAACTCATTTTCATAATGACAGTAACCTCTAATACAGATTTTCAAAGCTTCGTTTAAGCAAATTAGCGTGTTGCTAGCACAAAGCCTAAAGAATAAATGCTCAAATGTAAATCTTCAAAGTTGAAGGCATAAGGTCAAATGTCTAGCTTTATACATGCAAAGAAACCAACAGCAATATAAGAAAATACTTTCTCATATGAGTTTAGGTTATTGAAAACTATAGTGAGTTCAGCTATGCTCTCAGACATCCAGCAAATAACATGATCAATTCCTCTTAAAGCAGTAAGAAGCAGCCTACAGTGTCTCATTAACATCTGCAATGTAACTACAGTAGCTGGAGTAAAGTACAGAAGACCTACCTAATTATCATAATGAACCAGGAGATAAATATTTAGCAAGGCTATCAAATGATAATGAAACAAATAAAATACAAAAGGTTACATTCATGTTACCATGAGCCAAACATTAATTAGAGATAGATATAACCCAGTACCAAATCGTGCTGACAAAATTAATCTCACCTCTTACATAATAGCGGACACCAGCTCTGAAACAACTCCTCCTCGAGATGAGAATCCAATCAAAGTATTTTCCATTAATAGAACATGAGTGCATAGTAATAACTTAACTACATTAAGAAAAATATAACATATTGCAAAATCATATGTATTATTTTCAAATGAAATTTGAATCTATCTACCCTAGTAAGAATGTCTCTGCCTTTAGAAAATAAAAAGGAGAATATGCAAATTTTTGGTTCCTCATGAATATTCACAACCCTTTAGTACTGATTGTGAAGTTTTGTCAAGTCAGTAACCCTATAATGACATACAGTCAGTGTGTTTAAGTGGTTCATTACAGTGTTTCTATTTAAATAATATGATTTCCTTTCCCAGATAGTCTCAACCACTTTCTGAAAGTAAAGAATTAAATATTAACCACATCACAAAAAAATCTTTGAATGAAAGACTTATACATTTAAAATAGATTAACCTTCCAATAAGAAATGGAAAAAAAGGGGGAAAAAGACTAAGCTACTGAAGTTTATATTAAATGCATAATTATAATTACCAATAACAGTTGCTAAGCATATAAAGATTTACAGATCAAACTGTAAATTAAAGATTACTCAGAAACAGAATGTATCTCTCTCTTCCTCATAGGTTTGGGTTTGCCCTATGGTTATTTCCTATACATAACATTTTGCTTAATGTAATTTGATTCATCCATTATAAAGCATTAAGAGCATAATAAAATAAATATCTATAAACCTACCTCCGACTTGCGAAAAGTATCAAAGCCCTGAATCTAGTATCTGTTCCTTCTTCATCCCATCCAACTGCCTTCTTCCCCAGAAGCCCTGTGGAGACGATCCCCCTGCCTTCTTAGTTTCATTATATGCAACCATGACGTGAAAACACACAGCTTGCTTTTGAGTTTTATAAAAATGGCACAACACTCTTAAAAAACTTCAAGTCCTTGTTTATGCCCCCAGTAAGTACCTAAGAGTCATCCTTGCACTGCATGAAGCAGTAGTTTGGTCCTCTTCATTGTTGTGTGCAATCTATAAGAACCATGTCACAACAGCCCTAATTCTTCTGCTGATGGAACTCGTGGTGCTCAGAGTTTGCTCTAACAGTGGTGCCGTAAACATTTTTGAAAAACCTCCTGTATAAATGTATTGTGTATGTAGAGGGGAAGGCCTGGTAAATCCATAAGGAAATGCCAAATAATTTTCAAAATAGTGGTACCAAATGATACTAGCAATATGAATTTCTTGTGATTCATCCCTCTCTATCACCTGGTATCATCAGACTTAATAATGAGTCATCTTGAGCTCCCAATTCACAAACCTTTAAAACCACAGTACTAGAGAAGACTCCAAAGCCGTATTTACTCATTCATTCATTTGGAGCAGGGCACAAAGATGAATCAGACATGGATCTGCCTCTAAGAGAACTGAGTATAGCATGGAATATGTCTGTTTTATGAATCATTTTCTTCTGATTACAAGATGAATATCCATCCAAAAGCATGTAAGGAACGAAAGAAAAAGAAAAATCATGCAGAATCCCACCACCATGACACAACTTTTAAAATGTCGATGTATTTACTTCTAATCTTTTATCAATTAGTGACTCTCAGGGCCATGCACTCCCACTTGGGGATGCCCATTTCACACTTTCTCTTCAACCTCCAGCTACTACTCACAGCTAATGGCACTGCTTCCAATTTCACTGTGAAAATAAAAGCCATCCACATGCTCCCACTACATCTATCTACCTACTAGCCTCCACGTCCACCATAGCTGCTTCCTTTCTACTAGGGCGGATGAGCTGGATGGTGGATAAGCTGTCTATGTCAGGCCTTCGACCTGTGTACTAGACCCCACCCCCTCACACACTCAAGGACATTGCTCCAGCATGTGACTGTGCTCCCACCTTCTCCAAAATCTTTCTTCCCAGCATCTGGTAACAGCCCCCATTTGGGGAGAAGTGGGGGAAACAGGAACATAACCTCCCTAATGGTCTTTTTTTTTTTTTTTGCAGTATGCGGGCCTCTCACTGTTGCGGCCCCTCCCGTTGCAGAGCACAGGCTCCGGACGCGCAGGCCCAGCGGCCATGGCTCACGGGCCCAGCCGCTCCACGGCATGTGGGATCTTCCCAGACCGGGGCACGAACCCGTGTCCCCTGCATCGGTAGGCGGACTCTCAATCTAATGGTCATTTTTAAACAACCAGCAGCATATCAGCTGATGAGACTCTCTGCTTGGAAACCTTATTTTCATTTGCTTCTGGGACACTACTCTCAATTGGTTGGTTCTTCTCTTCCTCACTTGCCTTTGCTGGTTCATTTTTCCAACTTCAAATCTTAGAGTAACTCTATATGACTCGTCCTTTCAGTTCACTTACTTTGGTTCCCCCACTTCAGAAGTCCTTTGTCCTGAGGCCTGTAGTCCGTGGCTCTAGCATTTATTCACTATCTAGAACCCCCTTCAGGCTGTCTTCTTTCTCTACACCTTTTTCTTCTCCATATACATTTCTTCCTTTGATGATCTCATCCCACTTCATGGCTTTAAATGCCATCTATACCCTGAGGACTTTCAAATTTATGTCTCCAAAAAAAAAAAATTTACGTCTCCAACATGGACTTCTCTCCTAAACTCCAGTTCCATTAATCTATGTCTTCTTGACAATCTCTACTTGGATATTTACAGAAATCTCAAGCTCAACATGTCCAAATAGAAGTCCAGATACTCTGGCCTGCCTTCCACCTCGGCTCTTCCCCACCACAATGTATGGCTTCCTTCCACTTACTCTGGCCAAAAATCTTAAGACTCATACTCAACCCTCCTTCATTCCCCATGTATAATTTGTCAGAAAATCCTTTTAGCTGCACTTTCAAAACATATCTAGAACCTGACCATTTTTCATCACCATCAGCTACCGCCCTGGTCCCAGGCAACATCACCTCCATCCTGATTACTACAACTGCTCCTAGCTATTCCTTGCATCCTCCCCTGCTCACCTTTGGCATATTCTCTACATCACTGTCCGAGTGATCCTGTCTTACCATGACAATCCTCTACTCAAATCCCAATAGTTTCCCTTAACAGTTAAAGTAAAAGACAAAGCCTCTAAGGCCCTGCATAATGTGGGTCCAGCAGCCTCTCTGAACACAGCTCCTACTCCCTGTCCATTCTCTGCTCCAGTCACACTCCCGCCTTGGGCCCTTTTTTCTTGCCGATCTCTAAGTACAGGAAACATCTGAGGACAGGTCTAGTCAAAAAGCTACACTAAACAAAAGCCAATGTAAAACTTCAGATTTAAAGCTAAATAGATAAACTTTCTAAAATCACCTAGAAAAAGTGTTCTATAATCTCATTTGTTATTATTTGCCCATTCACAATCTCATTTTGGAATTAAAAAAACACATACACACAACTGGCCCAAACCCTTAAAGCACTACCTAAATAGTACACTTGTTATTATTTTATCCTTAGGAGAACTTAGAGAGCTCCAGGGAAAAACAAAAACAAAAACCAGAATAAACAGGAGCTTTTATCCTGACATTTTCTGCTTTTTATTCCCCCGCAACTGTGGAAAATGTTTCCTGCATTACTTTTCTGTTTTTAAGTATAACAAGCATAATAATTTAAGGAAATCATACTAACATAATGAACAAATAAATCACAGACTGTGTGTTAGTTAATAAGCTTCTTTGTGGGTATGTGATAGAAAGATCCCCTCAGTTTCTGCAGGGCAGAGTCCTGACTATAGGCACTCATCAGCACATTGTGCTTACCCTTTAACAGCCAGCTCACTTTGCTTCCCTATTTTTATTATGATGTCTATGATAAAGATTAGCTTTAAAAATGAACTTACAATTAGATAACCATTACTCATTTTGTATTTGTACTACACCTCACCCCAAGCATCATTCTTTGTACACCATGTATTTTCATTTTTCTGTGGCTATTTCAAATGAAAAATATAATTTTTAATTGTAATTCTCCTCTCCAACTTGCTGGTTACCCTAGTTCCTAAGTCTAACTTTTTTAATTGCTAAGGAAAATTTTCAATAGGCTAAAACTATTCTTGTTTATTGATACAAAGTCTAATAAAGCCAAAACACAGTGGACATATTTCTTCTTTTAAAACACCAGCCCCAGAGAGCATTAGTCAGTCTAAAGAGTTTATTCTATTAAAAAAAAAAGGTCATTTACAACCAGTATTCTAAGATTTTATGTTAATGGTTTGATATTATTATCAAAAGAGATTTCTACTAATTCTAAAATACTCTCCTCATGTAATATTTGAGACTGTCTTTAAATCTAAATTCTAATAATATTTAAATAAAGGCTGCTAGAAAACTAAAGAGTAATATGTAAGGATACAGCCATATAATACCGGAAGAGCAAACCGATGGACCTGAAATGAAGATGTATGTTATGTTTAGGAATAAATATACTTCAAAAATAATAAACAAAAAGAAGCACTATATAAAATATATTTACAGATGGGGAGGTAATATACAAATAAAACAAAGTAGTAAGCTTATGGGTAACTTTTAATTTTAAAGACATTTCTCTAGTGTAACATTGTCTTTTTAATTAAAAAAAATTAAGTATGTGCTACAATCATTTGGGCTTGAACATTTCCAGATTTTGGAACACTAATAAAACTACATGAAGTTGCAGAATGTTTATCTCCCTCCTTTTCAGTCTTTGCCCGCAACAAGTTCACTGCTCCAGGGAAAAGATATCTCCACATTAATGGTTTGCAGTTTAAACTACTTTTCCCAAAAAAGCAAAGCAAATGCCAAGGGATAATGCCATTAGGCAAATCTGTTTACCTAGATTCAATACATTATGCTTCCTAGGTGGCCTCCTTGTTTACATCTCATTTGTATAAACCAAGAACAGAGGAAGGTGACACCTATGCATGTCTATCCTGGGTGACTGAAGGGAGTCAGGTTCCCATAGGAAGACAAATGCAAAGCTCTCCACTGCCTGGGGAATTAGCTCTGGCCCGATTTCTAACATTATTCATCTACCAAGACCCATTCTCTCTCTCTCACTTATAGAAAGCAATGTATTTATACTGAGGTATTTTTTTCTTTATTTAAGGCTTCTATAGAAGATCTGAGTAAAATAATTAGGCTTCTTCAACCTACAATGATGTGGGAGGGTAGATCGGATCAAAGTCCGTAAGTTATAAACAGAGTTAAATTAGAATTCTTTACCAAAATCCTTGGCGATTAGGTAGCCATTTTATAACATGTATTCAATTAAAACTTGAACTGTAACAAATAAGCTGGTTTTATTTAGTGTACATTACCTCTGGCTGAGCAGAAAGTTCTCTTAGAAGATGACCATTCCATACAAACCGCTGGTCTGCCTAAGAGAGAAGTTTTAAGATTAGTATTCAGTATCTCCTGCCAATTTGAGTTTCTACAGAAAGAAAAGTATAACAATCAATGTCTCCACCTGGTGGCTAGGAGCAGGTCTCTTTGACATGCTGCAAAAAGAACACTTCGGGTATCCCTGTCTCGTTGCCTCAAGCCAGTGCTGCTGGCCCATACAGAAACCTGACAGTCCCCACAGGCTCTTTCTCTTATATTTAATCAACCACCGAGTCCTAAATCCCCTTCCAGATCCATTTCCTCTTCTACATATCTATTCTCACCATCCCTGGCTAACACCTGATTGCATCCCAACTACTAAAACAGCCTCCCTAGCCTCAAGCCTTAGCCTGGCCCTTCACACCCTTCCTCCACATGCTGCCAACAGTTGTCTAACATGACACGTCTCCTGTCTGCTGGAAATTCTTCACTGGTTCACAGTCATCTAAAGGACCAAATCTTCACATGGCCTAACCAGTCCTGGAATCTGGCAACCCCTACTTAACTCTCTGCTCTCATCTTTGGCCACTCTGACTTTCAAACTATACAGAAGAAACTCCCTCAACAACTCAGTAGACTAACCAATTCTCTTCATTCTCTTTATAAAACACAGCAACGGACACTCCCCTGTCCCCCGTCCCCAGCAGAAAGTCACGAGGAGTGGCTCTTGCACTCAGGCATAACCAGTTGAACGGTACACTTCCTGAGATTCAGACTGTGTGTTCCCAATCAGTTTGTGCCAGTTTTTCTTATTATTCATAACATAATTTAACTATTTTATAAATCAATGAAATATGACTTAAAAATAAACTGATCTTTCTATAAAGTTGAATGATTTACAACAGAACTTGATAAAAGGCAAGTTGCTAAAAACAAAACTTCTGTTGAATTAGGAGTAAAAATGGCAACTATAAAAGACTGGAGAAACATAGTAAAAATATATGGTATTCTGCAAACAGACTGCTCTGTAAGTGTCAAAATCTTTAAAGAGACTCAAACTGGAAAGCATTATGGATATAATTTATACAGGAAAGACAATTAGGAATCAAGGAACCAAAAACAAAGAAAAGCTTATGATCCTACATCAAAAAATTGACCAATGTAAAATTTTATGTTTTAAGTTGAGATAAAATGTTTATAGTATATATGATTCACTTATCACTTTTGTGATTCCCCAAGTTATGGTAACTTTGACTCTTCTGATTAGCTGACAAAAAATTCCCTCCCATCCCAACAGATGAGATGGCTTCTTCTTCAGTTTAGCCTAATATTGCCACTGCCTCTGACTGGAACCCTCCTTCTCCCACTGCCGCCTCATCAATAAGGCCTATTCATCGTTAAGTCTCGGCTCAAAAATCACCTTCCTCTGTACAGTCGTCCCTGACTCCCCCAGACAGAGTGAGTCCCGCCTTCCTTCAGGATCCTACCACACTTGGGTACCTATCTCTGTGACAGCAATTGTCCCTTGTTCTGTGATTGCCTGGACTTCCACTTCCCCAGTGGACTGCAGGCTCCCGAGAGGCAGGGGCATGTCTTTTCATCCTGTGTGGCCGGTGGCTAGTATAGTGCCTGGTACATGGCAGGCATCTGAGAGACATTTCATACCGAATGGAGACTGTAGCAAAAAAGCAAGAGTCTCTTTGCAGTTAAAAGCCAAATTTCTTCATTGCTTAGCTTACGTCTAAACTTACATTGAAGCCTACATATAATCTTACAAAATTATAGACTATAAAGTCTTTAAAAAGCCAGTCAACTAAAATATCGATTTAGGACTTCCCTGGTGGCACAGTGGTTAAGAATCCACCTGCCAATGCAGGGGACACGGGTTTGATCCCTGGTCCGGGAAGATGCCACATGTCGCGGAGCAACTAAGCCCGTGCGCTGCGATTACTGAGCCTGTGCTCTAGACCCCACGAACCACAACTACTGAAGCCCGCGCGTCTAGAGCCCGTGCTCCGCAACAAGAGAAGCCACCGCAATGAGAAGCCTGTGCACTGCAATGAAGAGTAGCCCCTGCTCGCCGCAACTAGAGAAAGCCCACATGCAGCAACAAAGACCCAATGCAAAAAAAAAAAAAAAAAAAAAGATATAGGTTGAGCTATATAAAATCATTTTTATTGGTCAAATATGGTCAATTAGTCGCAATTTCGTATAGTCCAAACTAACAGATAACTGACTTTTTTTTTTGACAGCAGCCTTTTAAATGCTGTCTGTCCCCTAAACGTATCTACTTTTGCTAACAAAAAATCAAGGCAGCAATTATCTAGGTTCCTGAACAGCAGAAATTTTATGTTGAAATCACCTGAGGTCCAGTTTTAAAGAAACACTTAAGTCAATAAAATAACCAAAAACCCCACCCTAAACAAAAGCATATTTTTCAAGTTCTTAAGTTTTTACTTTTCTACTTGTAAAAACCATAAAAAGCACCACTGCAGAAAGAACATCATCCATTAGAACATTAATTTTACAAGTACAATTATGTTGCTAATGCTAATAACCGTTACAACACAGAACAGAGAGAGCTAGGAAATTACCAACATTCATGTTTAAGCTAGATTTCTAAAAATGGACCCCTGTGGTTCTCAATCCTGTCTGTGTAACATACACAGATTCTGGGGTCCTGAATTTGGAAATGAGATGTCTATTTGCAACATGGTATACTTTCAAAGCCCCATACATGATCCTGATAGAGCCAGGACTGAGAAAAATCAATATGTATTTTATGGATGAAATAGAGAAAAGCTCCTTAAAATTAAAAAAAAGTAATAATAACTGAAGATTAAGCTTACCCTTTCCAAGAGACTCATTTCCTGGAATTCTGGACTAGTGTTAGACAGCCGCTGCAAAGTATGGGTCAAATCATATGTCGTTGAAAAATAAAATCCATCCACACTCAAGACATGGTTTATCATTGCTAGGAAAGTTTTGTTATCTTGTAACTGTAAACAAAGGAGAGCAAATAATCAGTCTATCTTGTACTTGAAAAGGAATCTATCAACATGACAAAAGAGTGAAAATAAAAACCTGGAAGTTCAGCCCTGTTAAATGCCACTGGCTCAAAGACTGGGCAGGATGCTCACCATTTCCCCAGGACCTGGGACAGTTCCTGATATATGGACAATGCTCCACACCATAGGGTATTATATTAACTGATTAGGGAGACCTCCTTTCCCATTGGTATCCTTCACAATTTTTACTTTAAAGGGCAGAAGAGTTACTTTAACACAACATCACCACCTTAGGTTATGACCTACTGCGTCCCAGACACTTTACAGAGATTCTCCTTTATCTTCACAGCAACCCCTTGCTAGTTTAGCATTAATTATCCTCATTTGACAGAAGAAAAACATAAATTCATGAGGGGCCCAGTAACAGAGAGTCAATAATGAGAGAACAATACCATCCTCATTCCTAAGAAACTTTACTGGTTTGGGCTAGTTGGGAAGTAAAATGGAATTCTTTACCAAAAAAAAAAAAGCAAAGACTGAAAAGAAAAGTCCAGGAGAGAGAGAAGTGGCCAAGATGGTAGCGTAGGAAGACCCTGAGCTCACCTCCTCCCACAGATGCACCAAAACTACAACTATTCACAGAACAACTATCTATGAGAGAAACCTGAAGACTAGTGGAACAGATTTTTCACAGCTAAAGATATAAAGAAGAAACCATGATATGGGTAGGAGGGGTGGAGACCTGGTATAGTCAAGACCCACACTCTCAGGTAGGTGACCCACAAATGGGGAGAATAATCACAATTGATGAGGTTCTCCCCAGTGAGCAAGGGGTCTGAGCTCCACATCAGCTACTGAGGCCAACGATCTTGCACCAAGAAGACAAGCCCCCAGAATGTCTGGCTTTGAAGGTCAGAAGGGTTTGTGTGCAGGAGAGCAGAACAACTGTAGGAAACAGAGACTCCACTCTTAAAGGGCCCATACAAAATCTCACATGCTCCAAGTCCTATAGCATGGAGGCATTTAAAAGGAGTCTAAGTCAGACCCACTTAGTGATCTTTGCGAGCCTCCTGGAGAGGCAGGAGGCAACTGGGACTGCTACTGGGGATGCAGATGTTGGCAGCAGCTGTCTCAGGGAGTTTGTTCTACCACGAGGACACTGGTGCTAGCAAGTGCCCTTTTGGAGTCCTCCTTCTGGCCTACTAGTGCAGGGGCTTACCTGCCCACCGGCAGGCCGGCACCAGTGCCGGGACACCCCAGGGCAAACAACAGAAAAGAACAATGAAACTAAGACCTGTTTTTCTGAAAAGATAAATAGAAATTGATAAACCTTTAGCCAGACTCATTAAGAAAAAAGGACGTAGGGCCTAACTAAAATCAGAAATGAAAGAGGACAAATTACAACCAACACCACAGAAATACAAAGGATCATAAGAGATTATTACAAATAATTGCACACCAATAAAATGGACAACCGAAAAGAAATGGATAAATGTCTAGAAACGTACAATCTCCCAAGACTGAATCGGGGAGAAACAGAAAATATGAACAGATTTATTACCAGTAACGAAATTGAATCAGTAATCAAAAAACTACCAACGAAGTCCAGGATCAGATGGCTTCTCAAGTGAATCTACCAAACGTTGACAGAAGAGTTAACGCCTATCCTTCTCAAACTATTCCAAATAATTGAGGAGGAAGGAATGCTTCCAAACTCATTCCATGAGGCTAGCATTACCCTGATACCAAAACCAGATAAAGACAATTATAGGTCAACATTACTGATGAACACAAATGCAAAAATCCTCAGCAAAACATTAGCAAACCAAATTCAACAGTACATTTAAAAGATCACACACCATGATCAAGTGGTACTGATCCCAAGAACGGAAGGACAGTTTAATATCCACCAATCAATCAATATGATACACCACACTAACAAACTGAAGAATAAAAATCATATGATCATCTCAATAGATGCAGAAAAAGCTTTTTACAAAATCCAATATCCATTTATGATAAAACCTCTCAACAAAGTGGGTATACAAGGAACATACCTTAACATTATTAATAAAGACCAGGGAATTCCCTGGCGGTCAAGTGGTTAGGACTCCGTGCTCTCCCTGCTGAGGGCCCAGGTTCAATCCCTGGTCAGAGAACTAAAGTCCCACAAACCACGTGACGGGGCCAAAAAAAAAAAAGACCATATATGACAAACCTACAGCCAACATCCAGCTCAACAGTGAAAAGCTGAAAGCATTTCCTCTAAGATCAGGAATAAAACAAGGATGCCCATTCTCACTACTTTTACTCAACATATTATTAGATGTCCTAGCTACAGCAATTAGACAAGAAAAAGAAATCAAAGGAACCCAAATTGAAAAGAAGTAAAATTGTCACTGTTTGCAGATGACATGATACTATAGAAAACCCCAAAGTAAAGATGCCACCAAAAAACTAGTAGAATAGGACTTCCCTGCTGGCGCAGTGGTTAGGAATCTGCCTGCCAATGCCGGGGACACAGGTTCAAGCCCTGGTCCGGGAAGATCCCACGTGCTGTGGAGCAACTAAGCCCACACGCCACAACTACTGAGCCTGCGCTCTAGAGCCTGCAAGCCACAACTACTGAGCCCACGTGCCACAACTACTAAAGCTCGCATGTCTAAAGCCCACGTTCCGCACAAGAGAAGCCACTCCAATGAGAAGCCTGCGCACCACAACAGAGAGTAGCCCACACTTGCCGCAACTAGAGAAAGCCCACATGCAGCAACAAAGACCCAATGCAGCCAAAAATAAAATAAATAAATTTTAAAAATACAGAAGTCTGTTGCATTTCTATGCAGTAACAATGAACTAACAGGAAGAGAAATTGAGAAGACAATCCCATTTACAACTGCATGAAAAAGAATAAAACACCTAGGAATAAATCTAACCAAGGCGGTAAAAGACCTCTCATTAGAAAACTGTAAGACACTGACAAGAAAACCATAATTCAAAAGGATACACGCACCCCAATGTTCATTGCAGCACTATTTACAATAGCCAGGACATGGAAACAACCTAAACGTCCAACGGTAGACGAATGGATAAAGAAGATGTGGTACATATATACAATGGAATATTAGTCAGCCATAAAAAGGAATGAAATTGGGTCATTTGTAGAGATGTGGATGGACCTAGAGTCTGTCATAGAGAGTGAAGTAAGCCACAAAGAGAAAAACAAGTACCGTATATTAACGCATGTATGTGGAATCCAGAAAAATGGTACAGATAAACCTATTTGTAGGGCAGGATTAGAGATGTAAACATAGAGAACAGACATGTGGACACGGGCAGCAGGGGGGAGAGGAGGGTGGGACGAACTGGGAGATTAGGTATGACATAAATACACTACCATGTGTAAAATAGCTAGCTAGTGGGAACCTGCTGTATAGCACAGGGAGCTCAGCTCAGTGCTCTGTGATGACCTAGATGGGTGGGATAGGGGCGGGTGGTGGGAGTGAGGTCCAAGAGGGAGGGGATATAGGTATAGCTGACTCACTTCATTGTACAGCAGAAACTAATACAACATTGTAAAGCAATTTTACTCCAATAAAAAAAATTTAAAAAGAGGAAAAAAATGATACAAACAGACCCACAGACAGAGAACAAACTGGTGGTTGCCAGTGGGGAGGGAGGGGTAGGAAGGATGAATGAAATAGGTAAGGGAGATTAAGAGATACTAACTTCCATTTATAAAATAAGTAAGTCATGGGGATATAATATGCAACATACAGAATACAGTCAATAATATTTTAGTAACTTTGTATGGTGACAGATGGTAACTTGACTTCTCATGGTGATCATTTTAAAATGCATAAAAATACTGAATTACCATGTTGTACACCTGAAACTAATATAATATTGTAAGTCAATTATACTTCAATAAGCAATAAAGGAAGATCCAGTAAAAGCAGTATATCTATTTATTTTCTGATAATCATTTTAGCTGGCTTTCCCAATGAATACCAAGATTGACATTTGTTTTTATCCTTGTTTCAAAAAATAATTTTTAATGTTTGTTACTGTTTAATGTTTAGCAGATGATAAACATGTCAATTCATGTTACGAATCTACATATAAAATTTTTAATTTGGCCTCACCATTTTTGTAAAAAAACAAAAGGTATAAGTAAGCAAAGCATATACAGCAAGGAATGCTAAAATTAGTTACATAGCCTGAAAACAAACTATAGCAATAAAGAAGAAACTGTTCAAGTAAATATTACTAGGCTATTAAATGAAAACAACCATTTTTATTGCCTTAAATTATCATGTCTCATAGAGAATTAATTTATTAATATATTGATATATATATATACAGTAAGAAATATATACAGTAAGAAAGAAATTTTAAGTTTAAAGTATAAAAACCATACTCTACAGCTTTACTTAGTCAATAAGACAATAGTGCTAGGACTGATTTTTTTTTTTAATGTTTATCATAGGTAAGATACATATTTTAGAATAATTAGCTTTCTTTTAAAAACAAACTTTTTGTAATCCTGGGAATAAAAATACAGCTTAAAATTTTTAAAAAGCAAATACTATAAATAAAGTACATTTAGAAAACAAGTACTCAACAGATGTAAATCTCTAAACATAATGTTGACTTAAAAAAAGTAATTTTCAAAAACTAGAACAGGGTTAATGCCATTCATGTAAGTTTTAAAATATACTGCAAGCAAAAACAGATATTGTTTGAATATGAATACAGGCAATCTTCACTTTGCATGATAGGGTGGGACTATAAAAATGACGATGTTATCTTAATCTTAATAATCTTAAACTATCTTAATAATCAATAGGAAAGTTAGGATCATTTCATGACTTAAAATTTTTTTAATCAACACATTAAAAACTCTCCTACTGTAAGTTATAAATGTATAGGGAAATGAAAAAATAGTAAAACGTTGTTTAGTATACTGTCATTTGAAACACTGATAATTAAAAATATTTTACTTCTGGTCAAAATTTATCAAGAGTAGCCTGAACAGTGCTTGCATTCTTCTCATCATGTAACTTATGATACCATCTTTTCTACACCCTGATGAACTGTCGTACATCTAAGCCTGAACTAGCTTCTAACACTTAATCCTTCGTACTATTAACATCATGAAACACTTCTGTGAGTTCCTTTAACGTGAAGTTTGTTACCGGCATCACTTGCTCTGGGACATGTTCAACCTTTTCATCACAACCACTTGACCATTCATGTCGATAACATCACCTTCACTGAGACCTCTGGCTGCGTATCCAGAGTCTCTTATTCCCACCATCAGCTATTTCTTCTGTACTCTATTCACGTTCAGTTTGAATTTCACTTCTAGAGTCGTCATTTTTTGTTTCATTGCACTTTCATCTTTGGTGAGCTAATTCTTTAGTCAATATATCATGGTTACTGAAATTTAAACTGTGTTGTTGGGAACTGGTGTTAACTAAACTGTGGTAACTGAAATCCATGCATATAGGAACTGTGCAAAAAGAGGACTGTTTGAACGTGTACACATGCACACACACTTATATTCCCATGTGGCAAAACTGAAGAAAGCTTTCTCCCTAGGGAAAGAGGGAATGAAACGGGATGAGTGGAACTTCAAAGATAATTTTTTTTTTTAGTAATATATAGGAGCATCCCTTTTATTTTTATCTCTTTTAACATCTTTATTGGAGTATAACTGCTTTCAATGGTGGAAAGATATTTAATATTTTATTTCTTCACAAAAATGATATGAAGTTAAATCTACGTGTTGACTACATGTGCATTTTCAGTCTGTCCTTTTCTCTCGTATGAAATTTCATATCTAAGAATTGAGTCAGTTAAAAAAAAACCAAGTGCAATAAAATATATGAACAGTTTTTTAAAAAAATACACTTTAGGGCTAGGTATGTAGAGTGACCATGCTCTATGCATTGTTTAAATAATTAGGTTTAAAAGAAATCCATCAAACATTCTTTGTGTTCCACCTCCCTTCCCCATCCACCCCACGGGACTTCTTTGGATTTTGCAATTAGTAAGTGCTTCCAGTTCTTACCTGAATATCAGTTAAGTGCAACATTGTCTTCTTATAAGAAAGGACATCAAAATCTATTGCTTTCCAGATTACATGATTGAAAAATTCACCTATTTTTTTCTTTTTGGTAATGACAATTAGATAATTACCTGCAAAAAAGCAGAGCCAAGTACACATAAATAGAAATAAGGCAACTGTAAAGCCAGAAATAGCAGTCCTTATTCTTTAAAGGCAAGAGTTACGGGAATTCCCTGGCAGTCCAGCGGTTAGGACTCCGCGCTTTCACTGCCGAGGGTGCAAGTTTGATCTCGGGTCAGGGAACTAAGGTCCTGCAAGCCTTGAGGCGCAGCCAAAATAAATAAAGGTGAGAGCTGTGCTAAATAGATAAAGGACCCATACTTTTTGAAAAGCAATCTTATAATTTATGAATAGAAAGACCAGCATATTATTTAGACAAATTTTTACTGAAAGATCAAATTTTTTCTCAGAAAGATAAAAGTAAAAGCTTTTGGTAACCAGAGCAGTGATCCTAGCAGATGGAAAGTACAGACAGAAAACGCTTCTCTCTCACTCTCCTGTCATCCCCAAAGCATACGGGCCTCTGCTAATGCATTTCCCGATGTGTAGCTTAAAGCATCATAGGTCATAATATCTGGCCACTGCAGATATCTACACCTCCCATGTCCTTCATGTCATTCTAAATGGTAGAGAAATGTGCTGGGGCAGTATAACTAACTGGCTACTGCAACATTCCGAAGATGAGTGGTCAGGAATCAAGAAGCGATCCCAGCACCATGCATTAATACACCAACCCTGATCCTGGCCACCTCCTCCTCCCACAAATAAACCAGGGTAAGCCTTTACCACTAGATTAATTATTCACATCTGTTCAAGGCTCTAACCACAAGTGCCCTCCCTGAAAGTTTTCCTATGTACATCTCTCTCCTAGAACTTGTTACATTGTTCTGCAGTAATTTACTATTTAAATGCCTCTCTCACTCAACTGTAAGCTACAGGACAAAAGGGACTTGCATCTTTTATAAATAACATCCAGCACTGTGCCTGATACGATAGGAACTTTTCAAAAGTTCAATGAAATAAAATTTAGATTAAAAACCATCACTTTCCTAACAACACAGAGCCACGGAGTTGAAGGTTTAGAATACTCTGGTCCAGGACTTCCCTGGTGGCACAGTGGTGAAGAATCCGCCTGCCAATGCAGAGGATATGGGTTCGAGCCCTGATCCGGGAAGATCCCACATGCCGTGGAGCAACTAAGCCCGTGTGCCACATCTACTGAATCTGTGCTCTGGAGCCCACGAGCCCCAACTACTGAAGCCCGTGTGCCTAGAGCCCGTGCTCTGCAACAAGAGAAGCCACCGCAATGAGAAGCCTGTGCACCACAATGAAGAGTAGCCCCCGCTCGTCGCAACTAGAGAAAGCACGCGCATAGCAACCAAGACCCAACACAGCCAAAAATAAATAAATTAATTAATTAATTAAAAAAAATAGAACCTCAGGCTTACAAATTTAACCACTTGCTATTTGGGGTATAAATTAATGACAAACACCTACAGATTTATTGCCTAAAGCAAGATATAAAGTGTGCCTTCATCTTATACTCTAATAGCATCGATTTAATTACCTTCTTGTCCATCTTAGCTCATTTTTCTTACCTGCCACCAGATGAATTGTGCCCAGTATACCAAATATTGGTCTTGTGACAGCTGAAGGAGGAATATCTTTCTTGACTTTAAAGAAGAAAGTAAAGAAAAATCACTTAGAAAAAGCTCACCAACTGAAAGAGAAATGTAGTTTCATTTCAATGGTTACTTCAATATGCACGCTTTGTTCTAAGAAAACAATATTCCTTCATTAGTGTTAGACCTCCACTTTGGCAGAATATAAAACAAAGATGTCCATGTTACATATAAAGGTCTCTGCCTGTCTAGAATATGGTGCCAAAAGTAACATGCTTCAGCAACCTCACTACGTAAATTAAGGGTTATTTCCAATGCCAATTTTCAACCAAATTTATTCAGTCTCTTGTCAGAAACCAAATCTTTACCCCTTTAAGAGAATTAGAAAGTAAATGGAAGTTGAAACAAGATTTTAATCTCAACATGCAACAAATGGAATGCAAAAAAAAGACTCGCCTAATTCCCTAATAAGAATGTGAGACATGGAGGCCAAGATTCAAGAGGGGAGGAGGAAGGAGAAGCCTCCTGTTCACGTCTAAAAGAAACTGATACAGGTATCCAGGGAGGCAATATCATTAGCTGCGATTTTATCAATAATGCCGTTATTAATAAAGACTACCTTACATTACAAGGTTCATTTCACAGTTGTTAAACTTTAAGCCAATGTGTTTCACAAAACATATTTTGTACAATTCTAGTTTAGGGAATAAAGCCCAAAAAGGGGGGAGGTAGGGTCTCCCAGTCAAAGAAACTTATTTTGCTATATCCATACTAACTCTACTCCTTCTCCCAGAGCCACAATGCACAGTAGGAAATTAAAGGCTCTGAGAAGGCCTACAGTAAACGAAAGCTGTTCCACTGTTTAATTCAAAGTTTTCCAAACCTATGTGGCTATAAAATTTTTCTTTCAGTCACAGTTTAATTATCAGCCTGGGACCCATTTTGAAACACTGCTGTAAACTCCAGTCCTGTTTCTTAAAGGCAGCCCTGTTTTTCTAAATAAACTAATTCTGAATAAGGTCTAAAATTCACTTGTTTCTCTCAATAATTCAATTTACTTAGCAATACTATGCCATAATTAATTACCATGAAAAATGGAAATACCAGTGCAGTTTAAAGCTCAGAGAAGATTCTGAATATACTGAGATCATTGATAAACATAAATGTACTACTGATACAGCTGTAAGTTACATTAACTGGAGCGTAACAGCAATAACACTATGATAATTCCTAAGACTATGTTGGTTTTTCAGGGAAGAAAAAAAATTCCTCTTTCAGTGGCAATGGTTTGTATTCCCAATGGTAAAAGGAAACTACCAGAGAAACTGTGATCGACAGCCCCTCATCATCACTAGCTTCAGGTCAAAGTATCTCTTCATGTGTCTACCAATGACTGTTCGGTTATCATTTTTACATCCAAACTATTCAAAACCTTTAGCTTTGTCCACTCAAATGGGTCTGCATTCTCTACTTACAAATAAAATGTCACTGAAAAGACAAAAAATAATTGAAAATACATCCATACTAAAGCTTTTATGAGACACTAGGTGGTAGGGAATTCTCTGGTGGTCCAGTGGTTAGGACTCCGAGCTTCCACTGCCGGAGGCACGGGATGGATCCCTGGTCGGGGAACTAAGATCCTCGTGGCAAGGCCCACCACCCCCAGCCCGCCTCCCCTCCAAAAAAATAAAAAAGACACTGGGTTGAATCAATATGTTATAAAGAAGTAGTGGGACTAAACTTCAGAAGTACACTAAGGGTGGTTAACATCAGTCAGCTATTCTGAGAGCGCAGTCACCAAGCAACAGTCACAGGAAATGCCAAATTATCAAGCTAAAACAGCTCTTACTTTATTTGGTCAAAGGAAAAGCTTACCAGAAAAAGCAGACAACCAAGGAAATGGAGATTTATAGTCCTACCTTTCTTACACTTTAGTATCCTATGCAAAATATTTTCATGTTTCACTTAATCCGTTCAAAGGATATTTACCATTTACCGAATGCCTACTCTATGGTTACTCAAATACTGCCCTTCAGAAAAAAATTAATACAGAACACTATCTAGAGGTAAATTTTTAAACATGAAATTCTAAATGTGGTATCACATGATACATTAATTCGTTACCAAAATTACTTCACATTAATCTAGTCAGAAATCAGTGTTCCACACAATTGAAAAACAAGTTGCTTTTCACACCCCAGAGAAGCAAAGCTAAATTATAACTGGATTGACAGATAAGATAGATAGATAAAGCTTAGGAAAATCATTCTGCCTAAAACACAAGTTTTACCCAGTGATGTATATATTATTTTTCATTTATTAAATTATCCTCATAGTCATGAATATTTTCGAAACCAAATCAGCTGTTAACATTCCACACACTTAATGCTAAAACAACTTCCTCACACTCAAATAATTCAAATCTTACAGCTAGAAAGGAACCTAACATACCAACAAAACCAATCCTGTTACGGTACTGATAAGGGAACAAATAAAGAAAGTTTTTAAATCCTTATGAATAGTAAAATGCTACCTAAAATTTTCAAGATCATTTCTCCTTTTCATGAGAAGGAAAAAGTATAAAATTAATGCATAAAAATCAAATGAGGTAGCAAGAATTAAAATTTTCTAAGAAGACACTCAGATATCCACACACTCACATGGATCTCATTAATTTAACTATTGCAACTTAAGTGTAAAATCTTTCTAGACACTTCTAAATCTGGCCATGAAATACCTGAGAGTGTAACTTCTGTGGACACACGGTCGATGATAAGTACATCATCTGTTCCATCATCACAAGCTTCCACATAAAATTTTTCAGGTGTGATATGCCTAAGAAGAAATTTAAAACCATAAATAACGAAGTGAAATGAAGACTTCCAAAAAAACCTGTTATAACAATTGAACAGTGTTTAAATTTGACATCATTGGGCTTCCCTGGTGGCGCACTGGTTGGGAGTCTGCCTGCCGATGCAGGGGACGCGGGTTCGTGCCCCGGTCTGGGAGGATCCCACGTGCCGCGGAGCGGCTGGGCCCGTGAGCCCTGGCCGCTGAGCCTGCGCGTCCGGAGCCTGTGCTCCGCAACGGGAGAGGTCACAACAGTGAATAGATAAAGCTATTATGCTGTCCTTATGTGTTCACTGCAACTCTTTTCACCTAATTTAATGCTGGTAAGGTTTTAATTCGCTGTAAAACTACCACTCTGACTTACGTAAGAAAATCATACTAAAATCTAATTTATACTCAACATGGTGCAGAAGGCAATGTAGCTCAGTAGTCAGGAGCACATTCTATGTAACCAGACTGTGCTGTGTGAACTTGGGCACGTTACTCCTCCCCTGTGTTCCTCAGCTCCCTTATCCATAAAATAAGGATAATACCAGACTCATTAAATTGCATTGTTGTGAGGATAAAATGAGATACTCTTTGATAAGCACTTAGAACACTTGACACATAGTAACCAAGATTTAAGTATTAGCTAAAAACACTAAGAAACACATTTCCAGGAAATTGTTTAAAATAAACTACTTTAACATTTTTGTATTTTGTTTGAATGCCACTGATGTGTTCTTGGAAAAAAAACCTCATCCTGCAAAGTAAAAAATAAAGGGGGTACAATTAGCAGAGTACTCAGAATTTATGCAACTTTGTAACCTGAGTCCAACAAAAATTAACAGTTGGCTCCTCAGGAGGTACAACGGATAACTCCAGGCAAGCAATTCAGCATGGCTGGGGACTGCCTCAGGAAATAACAATCAACAAAAACTAAATAAAGTTAAAATAAAGATTTGCAGGCACTAAAAAAATGGAGACTGAGGCTGTTGTTAAGGTGGGCACAGGAGTAAGTACAGGTATCTGCCGGGGATTGGTTCCAGATACCAAAATCTGTGGATGCTCAAGTCCCTCATATTAAATGGTGCAGTACAGTCAGCCCTCTGCAACCGTGGATTCAACCAAGTTGGAACCTGCAGGTACGGAACCGGCAGGTATGGAGGGCCTCCAGGAGCTGACCAGAGTTGGGGCGAGAACTAGCTTGTTTGTTTTTCCAGGGACTAATCTCTGCTGTTCTTAAACCACACTTGAAAGAACATCTGTCTGTGCAGCAGCCAATCTGAGGGCTTTTTCCTTTCCTTTTAAATTCTACTCCCTCTATTCTACTCTTCTTGCCAATGAAAAATCTTACATAATAAACCCACACACCATCACTGACATCACTTCTTTTTTTTTCCCCCCCGATATGTGGGCCTCTCACTGTTGTGGCCTCTCCCGTTGCGGAGCACATGCTCCGGATGCGCAGGCTCAGTGGCCAAGGCTCACGGGCCCAGCCGCTCCGCGGCATGTGGGATCTTCCCGGACCGGGGCACGAACCCGTATCCCCTGCATCAGCAAGCGGACTCTCAACCACTGCGCCACCAGGGAAGCCCCATCATTTCTTACTTACTGACCATGTATAAGCTATTTGGTGTTACAGAAACAAGTCCTGTAGCAGAACAAACTATACTGACCATTTTTGACTTGTAAGTTTTTGAGGAATAATCAACCCTTAATTATCCAAATATAACTTACATCCTTTTATGGTTCATCTATAACTAACTTCTTAATATTTCCTCCATGGGGTGGGAATGGGGTATGCCAAGGAAATGAAAGTCAATTTTAATACAAAATAAGAAATGCAACAAAGGAAACAAATCTGCTTCAAATATGGCAGTCTTCAATTCAAACTAAATATATGTTCCTTTTTATTCCTGAATAGTAGTCCACTGTATGGATATATCACAATTTGTTTATTCATTCACTTGCTGATGGACATTTGTGCCATTTCCAGTTTAGGATATTATGAATAAAGCTTCTATGAACATTCTAGTACAAGTCTTAAGGCAGACATATGCATCATTTCTCTTGGATGACTACTTAGAAGTGGAATGGCTGGGTCATATTGTAGTTGTATGTATAACTTGCACAAAGAAGGGAAAACGGGAGTGATTACAGACAAGGAAACTTTTAAGGGTAATGACTGTATTCATTTGATACTGGTGATGGTTTCACAGGTGTAAAATATATCAAAATGTATCAAAGTGCATGCTTTAAATATGTGCAGTTTATTATATGTCAACTATGCTTCAATAAACCTATAAAAAGAAAGCGAAGTGAGAGGTCCTGAAACAAACTAAAGGAAGTATAAAAAAACTTCCAGACAATCTAGTCATAGGATAGTTACCTCCAGTCTCGAATCATTAAAAAAAAAAAAATCCAACACATCAGTCCATACCTGCAGAAGATGTTTTGTGCAAGGGTAAGTTGCACTCCAGGAGTAAGTCAATAAATTTATTGAAAAGCTACCATGTGCTAAGCATTACACAAGTACTAGGGACAAGGAGGTAGGTGATAAATAAAAAAACAAGTACCAAATAGAAACAAAAATTTTAAACAATAAGTAGACCTGAAAAACAAGACTTCTTTATAAAAGCCTTTGGAAAAAATTCTGTCTCTAAATCAGAGGGCATTTTATAAGCCTCACTCTTTAGAATCCCTCCACACCCTAACAACCCCCAATCTTTTAAATGCTGTTTAAATGCCTGTGCATCAGATGTCCCACTGCATTTCCAGGTCTTAAAAAGGCTCAGGATCTGAAAGAGTCATGTGAAATACTTTCCTACAATGGGAAATGCTTTCCTACAATGAAGATTTCAATCATGAGAAGGATGTGACAAGTTGTTGGTAGTTCCTGAGATGTTGAGGTCACGTGCAGGGACAGGAGAGTGGCCTCAGGCTAACAGCCAGCAAGAAAACAGGGACCTTAGTCCAACAACCACAAGAAAATGGATTTGGTCAACACCCTGAATGAGCTGGATTCTTCCTCAGAGCCTCCACTACGAAACGTGATTTTAGCCCAGTGAGATTCATATTGGACTTCTGAACGACAGTAACTAAGAGATAATACATTTGTATTGTTTAAAGTTTCTAAGCTTATGGTAATTTGGTACAGCAGCAATAGAAAACTACTACAGTGATCAAATCCCTCCTGGAATGAAATAATCTCCACATTAACCCCTGGCCAAAACACAAAAACACTTTATCTTCCTGGAACAAAACAAAGAGATGTTTCCTTCAATTGCGTTTGATACCTGGTGTGTGAGTTTCTAAGTGATAAAACATTTTAAAAACCATTTTTAATGGAGTGTCTTTAATTTATATTTTATTAAACCAAGGTTTTTTCCTTATGTCTTAACCTAAGTATAAGTCAATGTTTTCCTGACTGACTAGGATCTTGAACACATCAATTTCTGGGCCATCCTACCAAAAGATGATGCCTTCAAATTCTAGTAACACAGTATGGTGAAAAAGTTACAGGTTTTAAGCTCTTACAAACCTGGTTTGAATTCCAACTCCATGCTTACTTGTCATGAGTCCCTGAACAAATCACTGAACTTCCCAGCTCAGCTTTCTCTCTATTAAAAAGTGGTAAGTGATCGGTGAGGGTAAATGAGAGAATATGTGTGACACGCCTGGCACTAAGAAGAGACTCCACGAAATGGTGGCATCATTTTTTTTTTTTTACTAAATGACCTCAGACCACTGAGCTTTAGTTTTCTCTTCTGCTGTCTCAGTCTCTTGACAAAGCCATCACCACTGCTCCTACTCAGCCGCTTTAGTTTTACATTTGAGACAAAGGCTGATGAATGCTACACAGTTCTGACCACGAGTGAAGTCCCTGGGTTTTATTATATCCATCTTCTTCATATTGCTCAGGGCCCTAAGCTCTTCTAAATTCACAGCTGTATTTGGGGGGGGGGGGGAAGCTACCACAGTTTACTTCACACAAATGGTGTTACTTCTTTAATAACTAACGTTATTCTTAATATAAGAGATGATTATCAACATACAATCTCAGAAATCAAATTCTTCCACTTTTTCAATACAGTGGACAAAAACACAAAGCTTGCATCTAAATGAACAGCCAGTAGAGAAATGCATACTGTGTTCCCTCAATAGCTCCACCCTCTTATACTTTGACTTCTTTTATCTATATACAGTAGGCCCTCCTTATCCATGGGTTCCACAAGGGTGGATTCAACCAACAGTGGATTGAAAATACTCAAGAAAAAAAAATTCCAGAAAGTTCCAAAAAAGCAAAACTAGAATTTGCTGAACACCAGCAACTATTTGCATAACGTTTACATTGTATTTACATTGTATTTGCAACTATTTACATAACATTTACATTGTATTAGGTATTATAATATAGAGATGATTTCAAATATACAGGAGGATGTACATAGGTTATATGTAAACACTACGCCACTTATATACGGAACTTGAGCATCCTTGAATTTTGGTAACTGACAGGGCCCTAAAACCAATGTATTTAAGCTTCTCACCTGCAAAACTTCTACCATAAAAATAAATTATTTGAATGAAGTCAATGAATTAAAAAAAAATCATACTTGTTTCCATATACAAGTTTTGGTGTGTTACCTAACAGATACCTTTTAGTCAGTGAAATTTATTATAAAATCAAATATTTATAGGAGCAGAAAAATCTCCTATTAAAATTTTAATATGTATAATTATGTAAAATATATATATAAATACACAAATAAATATATTTCAAAATATACATGGAACAAAAAGTATCCCTAATATAAGCAATTAAAAAATTTTTTCCAACTTGACATTTAAACTTAAAACTGATCTGGAAGGGTGTGGAACACTGAAAAAAATACATACATCTTGGGGACTTCCCTGGCTGCGCAGTGGTTAAGCATACACCTGCCAATGCAGGGGACACAGGTTCGAGCCCTGGTCTGGGAAGATCCCACATGCCGCGGAGC